TAGAATTAATTTCACCTGTTTTATTTTTACTTTTTCAATGTGACTTCGAAGTTTTCAAATTCTATATGAAGCTTGCATTCGATTCCTGCTGCACAGGACTGGTTAGCCTCCCTTCCTAGGCATTAGGGCACCTGGTCTCTGCACCTTCAGGATCTGACACTGTGGAGCACATTCGGTCTGTGGGCGGCCCACTCTCTAGATAATTCCGAGAGCATGCCTCTGACCCCCCTACAAACAGAGCCCCTCTCCCTCCTGACTGGGCTAGTCAGTTCTGGTGGCCGTGCGTGGGGCCACACGCTTTAGAATGAAGCAGCACACAGGCAGGTTGCATTTGGTAGTGTGAAGCCCAGGCTGTTTTTCTGGTCTAGTGTTAGAGGTGGTGATGTTTCCCTTGATTTGTAAGATACAAACATCAAACCATACTATAGCTTTACTCTTAAATTCTTTTTCTGTAGCTTGTGTCCTGATTCCTCCAGCCTGGAGAAATACAATTCTAAATATAACTTTCTTGGAAGTCACTCCATAATGATTTCTAGGATAGAACCCCAGGCAATTGGTAGCACTGGCTGGTTTCCCTTTGTTGTAGTTGAGTTGCTTTTAAACTCTTGATGGTATCACACACAAAACATAATTTTAGAATACAACTTAGTACACACATTCATATATGTGTGTAATTAAAAGAAGTTTCTCAAAACAGTACTTGCTCAACATCTTGTGAGGCACTAGTATTTTCTATTCCATTATATTGATTTTTTTTTTAAATGCTTCCTCTGCCCTGGCTTGTGTGGCTTAGGTGGTTGAAACATTATTGTGTAGGTTGAAAGGCCACGGGTTCGATTCATGGTCAGGGCACATACCCAGGTTACAGGTTCAATCCCCAGTCAGGATGCGTATGAGAAGGCAAACGATTTCTCTCCACCCCCCCTCCCCGCCTCCCCTTAAAAGCAATGAAAAAATGTCCTTAGATGAGAATTTTTTTTTTAATGCTTCTTGTGAAATACTAGTAGGGTTGCAACTCATAGTTTAAATACTGTCTTAATATAAAGCTCCAGGATTACATGTGGGTCATTGTAACCTGGTAAGAAGTGCCACTTCTGTTTGATAACCTTTCCTAATGAGCCATGCTGGCCCCCGCTTTCTGCTGAGCACCCCGACCTGCCTTCAGTGCCCTTCCCCCGACGTGGTCCCTACACTGTCCTTCAGCTTCCATGTGACGGGCCGTCCTCACCTCGTTCGCCCATGACCTCTGTGGTTATCAGTGTGTAGTGAGATTCTGCTCACACCCTTCAAGTGCACTCTGACCTGAAGATCAAAAGTCTTTGTTCTTGAACGTGTTCTTTGCGAAACTGAGTCTCATCCACTTCGTGAGGACCGCTAAGCCTGCTGTCCCCTCAGTGCTGGCAGCTCCGGCCCAGTGTGCACATAGGAAGCCTTGGGAAGTGCCCCGGGGCCATCCTAGGATTCACTGGTGCTGTCATTACAGTCCCCAGCATTGGGGTCCAGTGGCATTCCCCATGGTGCAACATCCTGCCATGACTTTCTTATTTAAAAGCCAAATAAGGGAAGAGGTATTTTAATAGCCGGGAGGGGCAATCCGGAAGATAGATAGTCATCATTTAGAGAGCAAGCTCTATAAGAGACAACGTTTGGTATATTAATTTCCCTTTTCCTGTAGTGGAATATAGACTTTTTTTTTTTACACCTTCTATGACACATTTCAGGGGCTCTATTTTGCGTTGTCATGACATTGGAAAAATTATTTGACAGCTTGTCAGAAGGAAACATTTATAATTGGTACTAACCTGTACCTGCTCAGCCTCTAGAATAGCATGACAGGTAATTGAGGTTGAAATTGAGAGCACTTACCACTCAAAAATAAGTACAAGAAAGGCCAGTATGCCCTGTATGTGTTGAAACCAGTTGGGGGTTTTTGTAATTTCTTATAGTTAACAAGAAGCTTGGTGGAAATAATTTTGTAATGGAAATTATTAAAAATGGACTCGATTAAAGTAGTTTTATTACATTGGTGTGAGATGTCATTCTGTGGCATGATGACCTCAGGATACCGTGACGGCCTCACACACCCCTCCAGCGCCCGCAGGGGGGGACCCTAGCAAACCAGCACACCTGACGGTTCCTGGTCGTCACCGTCAGACCCAGGTGTCCCTGAGACACGCCTGCTTCTCAGCTGTGCATAAAGGTCACGAGTAGCCTCTCCAGTCCCCTAGTTGACTCTTCTGTGGTACTGAAGACCTGTTTTAAAACTGATGCAGTGTCCTAACCTAAATATTTTATATTACCTACAATGTCTTCAGTGTTGGCAACAGTGGGGCGTTTTGAAGCCTAGGTCTGACCGGCGTGTTCCCCTGACTGATGGAACTGCGTGTTCCCCTGACTTTCAGCCAGTTCCTTTGGACCATGCGCTTTTCTAGACTTGATCCCGATTTCATTTAAAAAATCATTTATTTCTGTCGTCCAAACCAGAAATAAGAGCCTTGTGTTTTCTTTCACGGGAAGGTTGCTCCGTCTTTGGCGGCTCTAGAAACTGTTTTTCAACATAAGGAGAAGGCTTGTTCAGGTACCAGCGAAGCCACCTCCGTCAGTGCCTCAGGGGCGCCATCGCCCGTTTTGCTGGCGGAAAGGAGCAGAGTCCGAACAGGAACAGTGCTAACAAGGACCGGCAAGTGGGCATTATCCCGTGACAGTTTAGGGCCACCATCCCAATGAGAAGCCCAGAGCTGGTGCACAGCCATGGCTTCCTGCCTGGCCCTGAGGCAAGGACAGCAGATTCCTTCACGAAGAGCCTGGACTCTGGAAGCCAGAGAGGAACCTGGAGCAGGTCACACATCTCCCTAGGCGCTAGGCTCCCCACCGGGACAGTAGGCCTGCCTACGTCCTGCGGCTGCTGTGGAGATTAGGTGTGGCCTTGTGCCCCCTTCGCTGCTGTAGCCCGCGGTGGTACGCACCTGTCTTCTGGTGTCTGAGCAAAGCTGAATTTGCGTGATCAGCTTAGAACGCTGACATCTCCCCAGAAAAACCACATGGAAGAGTAGGTGTTGTGTGAATTTTTGTTACAGTGCACTGAGGTTAACGGTGGACGAGTTGCCTTTTAATGGTGTCAGGTGATGAACAGAGCTTCCAGAAGGATGGGCTTCCAACAGTTGCATCCCACGCCCTTTCCTCTCACAGCATCAGCACCAGTAGCGGTGGGTGGGCCGGCGGGCCGGGACCGGGGGTGGGGGGCAGGCAGGACAAATGGCAATAAGGTGGACATGTAATTTATGGTCAGCAGATGACAGACTTGTGTTTTTCATTTTTTAAGTTTTTATTTTCGCATTAACTGATATTTACACTAGCTTTGTAATTATAGCTAAATTGGCCACACTGAGACTGGGAAGGCCCCTAACTCCTCGGATGGAAAAGACGGCCCCTTTTCTGCGCCTTTTGCTGGCTGCTCCTTTTGTTGAGAGACACGGCATTTACTGGCAGCTTGTAGCCTCGTGCTAGAGGAGGTGTCTCCATGGTGGGTTGTAGCAACTGTAGCGGAGGAAAGAAATAAGAATCTCAGCACAAGGACAGAGCTCACCTCATGCTTCCTGCACCCCCAACTGGGAGGAACTTCGATTTGTCATTGTTCTTCATGTATAGTTTGGAGGAGACAGGTAGCTCTCTAGTTAATTACATTTTTTAAATTACCTAAAAGGAAATCCTAACCCTGGAGCAAATTATGTCATTGGATCTCATTCATATTTGCCTGCTGCTGCTTTTTAAATGCAAGGGGAGATGTTTTCCAAGTACACTTGAGTGCTTTCTAGCAGTGAGAAAATTTCACAATAAACCAGTGAAGAGGGGAAATACCAGCCCAGGTGTGCAGTCGGAAGGTCTGGACTTTCGCTCCGGCTTTCCCTCCAGCCAGCTGTGGGGCAGGTCTGGTCAGAGCTCAAGAACTTGCCAGATGTCAAGCATTTTTTACTGGTGGGCGCCCCTGCCTATTTTCCTATGAGGGTCGCAGAAGTCCTGTGTTCTGACTTGCGCCTCAGGCTGTGTGAATCCCAGGCACAAGCCCTCTAACAGCGGGGCGCAGTGCAGACACGGCCTATCAGGCCCCTGTGGCCCTGACCAGGACCCCGGAATCTGAGCTATGAGCTATGAGCCATGCCCGCGCAGGCGACTCCCAGAGTCTGAAGGGGCCCTTGGGAGAGCTCCTCCAAATGAATTGCAGTTAGGTCCATTTTAAGTCAGAAATGCCTATACCCTGCTGTAGAGGTGAAGAGAGAGGAAGAAGCATGCTGTGTCCAAAATTAAACCAGTAATAAGCCATTAACTTGGGTTCTGAAGCAGTGTACTTAGTAGATTGAAAGTTTGAGGCCATTTTTATAAGTAATTTATAAGATTTGTTGATAACTAGACTCTATACCTTTTCCTTAGACTCTCAGCTCTCAGGGGGCTCTTTAATTTATAGCCTTGACCAATACATACAGCGTTGGGCAAAAGTAGGCTTACAGGTGTGAGTATGTGCAACCCAGGGTTTATTCTGGTATTATTGTTCACTGATAATGGTATTATTTTACACACAAACAACGACTGTAAATTGCCCCACCTGTGCTTGCCCTCAGTAAAATGTTCCCAGCCTGTCTTTACTTTCTTCTCTTTAGGTTGGCTCAGCTGTGCCCCCAAACCCTCTGTCATCCCCAGTGTCCCCTTCTTGACAATCATTGCTCTCCAGGTCCAACAGACAACCTGTTACCGTTCTCTTGGGTAGTGGACGCTCAACGAAGTCATGGGCAGCTGAAGGTCCGGTGTGCAAGGCCTGGGGCTCACCTGTCTCCAAGGTGACTGCTGTGCACACCTCACCTGGGCCACCTGCCTTGACCGGTCCTCGTGGCACTCCAGTGTCAGACCCTGGACTGTTGCCTCTATTTGTAAAGAAACGTTTTTTAAGAAAGCCGACATTCCATGAAACGGATGGGAACGTTAACTCTTTGCTCTCTTCTCAACAGACACGAGACGACTTCCTGGGACAGGTGGACGTGCCCCTTAACCATCTCCCGGTAAGGACAGCCATCTGCTTTCTGTTGCCTGTTGTGAGCAGTAACTTCTGATGGTCTGCAGCTGGAAGTGTTCTCAGTCCTGTTTCCTCAACACAATGGAGAAGGCTGAATACAGAGCATGTTCTCTGGCTCTAGATCTTTTCTAGAAAGTGCTTCTTTCAAAGGGATAAGAAAGAATCAGGTGTCTCTGCATCTGCAGGGCTGCTGGTTGGTGTCACCAGCATCTCGCTCTTCTGCCCTCCGCCTCCCTTTGTCAAATCATGCAAAACAGCTACCTCCCTCTGTCAAACCCCTCCTTGTCCCTGGACTTTCTTGGCTTTCAAACTCATCCTTGGGGTCTAATCAAACATGTGACCCCTTTGTCTAGAGTAGCACGTGCTGTTTCTTGTGGGCCACATCTGTACACGCTAGTGCTGCCCTGGTTTTGCTACATGGCTTTCTCGGTCAGCACAGACAGAAGACGCTGCTGCTTCTGAGCAAACTTATCACTCAGCCTCAGAAACAGTAGTGAGCATGTGTGGCATTGCTACCAGTTCTCTCTGTTCAGGTGAGCAGCACAACATTTGGAGCCGCTGACAAATAGCTGAGGCCTGAGGTGCTCTTGGGGCCATATAGATAAACTCTGGGGACAAGACCTGGAAGCTTGCGGGGAAGGTTGGTCACCTCGTGTGTCAGCTTCCGTTTTCCATGTTGCTCCACCCCTCCTGTGGCCCTTGGTTCTTTGGGCAGCACAGTAACTGAAATAGCAGCCAAGAGAGGTTAAGTCAAATGTTTCTGCCTTTTTATTATTTATTTTTTATTAATGCTTAGTGTGAGCAAACACTTCAAATAGTCTATAAATTAAAATGACTTAAATCACCTAATATAAGCCTACTGTTCTGTTGAAATGGTGGCTGTTACCGTAGACGAAAGAAATGCCAAGAAAGACTGTGCAGCTTGCCCAGGAGGCTTTGGAGATTTGTTGTGAAGGAATGTGAGAGCAAGCAATTTTTTCTTATTTACTCAGGAGAGTTGTTAAGGTAGAAAGGTTTCAAGTGCATTCCCTTCTAAAAGATTAGAAGCAACAGTGATACCATTAAAATATATTTGTTTCTATATAAAAACCTGAAGCGCCAAGGTGTGTGCGGAGGGAGCATGTGTGCGCGAGGCTGATTCCATAGCTGCAGAAACCTGGTGGTTCCTTTAAAATCACTTTGAGAGAGGACAAGGAGATCTCAGCACTTGTGAGGGAAACGCTCGTCACGTGCTGCTGCATCAGTAGGTCTTTTACTTATGCTTGTCAGGTCGAAGCGGGAATGCCCTCAGGTTTTTAGACAACATGGGTTGGTGGGCCAGTTCTTTGTCCTGGGTGTCCCCAGCCACCGTTTTTCCTAAAGTAAAAATCACCTCTCCACCAAGACAAATTCTGTACTAATAGTCCCTAACAGGTGGAAATGAAATTTCGAAACACCTTGCTCTAACAAGGCCTTGTTTGAGTGATTAAGTGCAGATTGATTTCGAAAGATTGGGTGGGACCCCCGGAGGGGAGAGAAGTATTGTCTTTAGAGACCAAGTCAGTAGAGGGAATAGCTGGGCTTTGGATTTGGTGGAGGCCAGAGTGAGCCTTCAAAGAAGGGGGCGGTGCCAAGGCTCAGGGCTAGAAGAGAAAGCAACCAGTTAACGGGAGCAGAAGAGCAGATGCTACAGAGGACTTTTACACGGGCTGAGCCAGCTGAGTTAGGGAGCCTCCCAGTGTTACATCTGCCAAAAGATGAGCTTCCTTGGGAGTGCCATGATCTCCCCTCTCAAAATGGACCGGCTCGATAGAGCCGACCGCAGGCTGGGAGATGACCACAAAGGAAGCCAAAGGAGAGGGGTGAAGGTGCATTCTCATCCTGGAAGAGGGGTGGACCCCAACTAGCGTATTCAGAATGCACATAGCCTTGGCGCTGCACTTTGTGTGTGACCACATTCGTAGGGCGCTCATGGGAAAATTGCACGTTGTTGCTATATATTTGGTGTGATGACGTAAGCATGGGTGTGTAAAATGGATTGTTAGCATTTGAATATATTTTGTGGAGTGCATGATGGTTGCCCTTTTCTTGATAGTTGCGTGACCCTTCTCCAGGCAGATTATATATGGCCTGAGGATTTAATATTTGTCAAGGTCATCCCATTTTAGACAAAAATTAAGTAAGCGATCTCATTAGTAATGAAAGGAGGTAATGGAGAGTAGTAATGTGGATCAGAGTGGCTGTTGCCTTGGCCTTTCTCAAGGTTTAAGGAATCTGATTGGGTGTTTGATCATTAGTGAATTTCACAGTCTCACCGGGTAGGAGAGAATCTATTCCTTCTGCATATATTTGCTGATAAGCATGATTTGGATCTGAGGAAGGGTCAGGGAAGCAAGGCCCTCCCTCAGGCAGCTTGGCACCGCCACTCGGTGTGGCAGCCACGTGTGGTAGCTGAGCATTTGAGATATGACTGATGTGACCAAGGGACCGAGTGGATTCATCATTTTACTTCACTTTAGTTTATTAAAATCTAGATTTTAAAAGCCACATATGGCACACAGCTCCCATACCGCATGGCACGTGTTAGCATCAGACCCGAGCAGCTATGGTCCTGGCTGCTGGAGGGAACTGCATTTTTGCTCAGGTCGCACTCAGTGTATGACCTGAAAATAATGGCAGTCAGTGTACAAATCCGCCTGTAATGGCAGGGGGTCGGGGGGATTCCCAAACCCACTAGCTTTACTCCGTGCTTTTTCATTGAGCTTTCTTCCCCTCCCTGAGGCTGTTTCTCTCTAGTTCTGCATATCTAAGATACTGAGAATATTTAATTGAGTTAATAAGAAAGGCCCTGAAACTTGGAATGATAGAAAGAAGGACAAACAGTAGTAATGTTTTGCTATTTTAAAAATTGGTATTAGCAACATAGTTAATTATCTATGCTTCCATGTTGACATACATGTGCCCTTATTTATTATAAGACATTTTAAACCAGGAATGAGGCTTTCTCTTGTTGCCCCAAGATACCATGCATCTTTTTTTTTTTTTTTAATTTTAACTGCCTTGATTTGGTCTTAAAGTTGGTAACATTTGATGTTTTCTAAATTAGGAACTTGATGAAGAAGATGCGAGGCAGCAGAACTGAACTTAGTCTAATCTCTTGTGATTGTTAAGAAATTACTTTTAATAATTTAAATATTGTTTGGTGTCTTTTGAGTGTGAAAGAGGAATGTTTTAAACTTAGTAATGATGCTTGCTGAAGAACCTTCTTCCCTTGCTGGAATCCTGCAGGCATATTAGTGCCATTGCCAGCAGCCATTGGTGTTTGCAATGGAAGACTTCTCTTTTAAATTCTTCAGCTCTAAAATCCCTGACCCCAGGCTGCCTACCAGGAAGATGAGAGGAGCAGAGCAAGCCTGACCTCTCTAGGGACCGGTTTAGGAGCAGACCCTTGGTGGATGCAACTCTGCAAAGTTGCAAGCACCTTGGCACCTTGGACCTGGTACACGCAGGCCCTCCTCAGCTCACTGACCAGTGTCAGGTCCCTGGATTAATTACATTCCCTGATGGGCCTTGGGGGCCATTGTAAGAGTCCTGGTGGGAGCTCTGTCGGGGAGGCGGAGAGGTGGGCAGGGAGGACGGTGTGAAGCCCGGGTGTGTGCTGCATGCCAGGGAGTCACTACCTCCATCATCAACCGCAGTGGTCCATAGTGTTAGCTCAGTCATTGTCCCCTAACAGGGAAGAGTAAAGAGTGATAATGAAAAATAGAGGAAACGTCTTTTACTCCTTTGCTCATTGATTCCTCAGTGCCTTATACTTATCAAATGCTTCCAGATGAAAAAAAAATAATTTTAGAATCATGATTCACTTTCATTCGAGGCCTTCAGACTCAATTCTCCCATCGATCAGTTACCTCTCTCACACACCCCGACCAGGGACTGAACCTGCCACCCAGGCTTGTGCCCTGGCCAGGTATTGAACTGGTAACCTTTGGCTTTGCGGGACAACGCCCAACCAACTGAGCCATGCCAGTCAGGGCAAAGAGTCTAGGTTTTTGAGGTTTTCCTAAATATAGTATTTAAAAATTAATGAAAAAGTAACATTTATTTTTCTAATTCCTTGCTTGCTTTACTTTAACCAACTAATTTGGGACAGTCTTTGGACTTCTTTGAAAAATGGATAAATGTTGCCGTTGCATTCAGAGCTTCATGAAATAAGCACCAGCTAAAGGCAGATTCATGGGGCCACGAAGGATGAGCTCTTGTGGAGGAAATAATCTTTCAGTGATCTTAGGCTGATGATATGATACTTTAATGTTAAAAATAAGGTAAAGCTGCCTTCACAGATTAGATCATGCATGTTTTCCTATTAACTCCACCTTTACTTCTCTTGGATGAAATGACAAGGAGGCACTGGTGACCACAGATTCTCCATTGTTAATCAGATTGAGATTGAGGGCTCCACCCTGCAGTTAGAAATTACACTTGGCCTTGACCACTATCATTTTGTCATTTGTCTAAGGCTGGGGTTGGCTCCTAAAAACGGATGTTGACAGTGACATCTAGTGGATCTTGAGTGGATAAAGTTCTGTGACCTAATACAACATTTATCAAGGGTTGGTTGAGGAACCAACCCTGGTCTTCATCATTCCTGTCTTCTAAAATGAAACCGTGCTTTCTATAATCCAGCTCGGTGTATCTCAGAATACAACCTGTTAGGGGTATTGACACTTGCTTTTTCTTCCTGTAGACAGAAGACCCAACCATGGAGCGACCCTACACGTTTAAGGACTTTCTCCTCAGACCAAGAAGGTGAGGCCTTGGGCGGGTAGTGTTATCCTTTATGCCATGGTTATTGGGTTTTTTTCTGGGGAAGATTCAACAACTTTTCTTGTTCTATCTTTTTTCAAAAGTCATCATAACTATGAAAGCTGTAATCAAGTCATAGCCTTGACAACCAGTTTTCTTCTCTCATGCAGTCACAAGTCTCGAGTAAAGGGGTTTTTGCGATTGAAAATGGCCTATATGCCCAAAAATGGCGGCCAAGATGAGGAGAACGGCGAGCAGCGGGGTGACGCGGAGGTGAGCAGCTGCGCCCAGGCCCCGGGCCCCGGGCCCAGGTCCCCGTCCCTGCCCCTGCCTGGGGTCGTAGGAGTTGTTCACCTTAGACTTTCTTCGTTAAGGAAATGAAAGTTTATAAAGCTCAAATATGAAAAAATTTGAAAGCGCCCATGAACCCATATTTGATAAACTACCAGTGTGTGTTCGTGTGTGTGCATTTTAATAAAAAAAAGATGAATTTCTTATGTTAGGACACTAATAATTGGGGCAGTTTCTCATTATGAAATGCCAAATTCATATTTTATTAGCAGCCCCAACCCTATGTGAAATTCTCCTCGTGTATTTCGTTCTCTGATTGCTTTGGATTTTCAGCTCTCGGTAAATTCCTTTTAGCACTTGGAATTGCTTCAAAGTGGATAAAGGGATTTAGAGAATCTTTTCCAGGTTTCGGCTCATTTGGCGCACAGGTGATGGATAGCACGCATCAGGAAAGCTCTCCTCTGGAAATGCCACTTTGGAATTAGCTGTCCAGAGGAACTTTCTCATTTTCCCTCCTGGCCTAGCTGCCTTTTAACTTTGTGGTCGCATACCTGTACCTTGGTCGCGTTGTACCTTGTGAGCACACCCTCCCAATGGTGCTGTTTTGTTAGATCCTCATCTTGTCCTGAAAGTGTCCGCTAAATGAGGCCTCTCTGTGGCTTCTTTGCACATCTGTTTGCAGCTGTTGCGTATACGTGGTATGTGAATATGTTACGGGCAAGTCGGCCGAGCCTCCCTCAGACCAAGAGGTCGGATTTCCAGGCAGCGTTTCATCTGTGAGCTTTCATCTGTGAGGAGGAGGAGTGAGTGGGTGGTAGACAGTCATGAATGTTAAGATTTCACAAGCACATCAACAGATTTTTATCTCAAATCCAAGGAATTTTTTTTTATACTCATCTTGCCTTCCAACTGCAGTAACCCATGAATTACTTAATTTTCCAGTGACTTTACTAGGGGATGTGAGGAAGGAATACTTAATGCCTAAAATATGTGTTGGAAAACCGGAACTCTAACTCTGGTACCATAGAGCCTGTTTATGTGGCCCCAGCAAGTGGGGAGTGCCTAAGTAGAAAGCCACAGCACCCCGCTTTTGGGGCTCCCGTGATACTAGATGCAGAGATGCAAAGCTAGCCTCGGTGCCACCCTCCCTGCAGAACGATAGAGCCCTCGGCCTACTGGTCACTCACGCTCTGATGTCTGTTGGGGCATGTGTAGTGTGGCTTATCTTCCCAGCTCCCTTTTCGCTTAGGGACGTGTTGAAAAGACCGCTGCCGTAACATGACAATGTCATTGCCACGGCTTTGTATGGCCCTACAGGCCTTCAGGTCAAAATAACAAACATGAAATAACAGAGGGGTCTAACGTGACTTAGTAACGCAGCAGACTACATATCCCACTCTCTGCTGCTGCTTATAATACAGTCGTCTCAGAAGGCAGCACGGTTAGTTGGCCATTGCTCAAAATACTTTTAAGAGTCCTCTAGAATAGCTTTTCTCCCCACTTTTTGGGAATTTCTTCAAACGTGGCACATGGAGCCACGGCAAGAGCCAGTGTGCAGCGGAGTAAGGATACAGGTGGCACCTGTCACTGTGTCCTCCCTCACACCTGAAGAACCCGCCTCATGACCTTCAACCTGATTTTACTCCACAGCATGGGTGGGAAGTCGTGGACTCAAATGACTCAGCTTCTCAGCACCAGGAGGAGCTTCCTCCGCCTCCTCTGCCTCCTGGCTGGGAAGAAAAAGTGGACAATTTAGGTCGGACCTACTATGTGAACCACAACAACCGGACCACCCAGTGGCACCGACCAAGCCTGATGTGAGTACCGTGCGAGGGCCAGGAGCGCGCGCTCGCCTGCTGCCCTCAGTGCGAGCGCTGCAGCCCTTCGGGACGAGGCTGGGAAAGACGTCTCAGGCCCTAGAAAGCACTTGGCAGCGTGGCACTGCAGGTTCCCCCTCACCAAGGTCAGGAGCGTGGCAGCCTGGGAGGGTCTGCGAGGGATGAGAGCACTGTTGCCTTTTATCACGTTCTGTCTTCGTATGGATTCACGAAATACGAAGCAGAGGTTGCATGTCCTGGGTGCATCTTATGTGCAGTGACTCTATCCTTTTCCTCTTCTTCAGCTTCCTCTTCTCACTAACCCAGAATGGAACTCCTTCCTAAAGATTTTGGGGTTTTATTTCCTTTAATTATTTGACTTGGAAACCCTCTCAAAAATTTTGTTTTCCCTTTTGGGGAAATTTCTATATCACCCCCTTGATATAATTAGGAACACATGGGAGAGTTGCAAACTCAGAATTAGTAATTACTGTTTATTCTACTCCCTCCCCAGCCTCAGGGATGTAGTGCACACTGATTACTATTTTGTTTGCTTGGCAATTTTTGGTTTGATGATAGGAGATAAACACTAGTTAAACCTCAGCTACTATAAAAAAAAAAGGATCTGAAGTAGCTTGTTTTTAAATCGCAGTGTACAGCAGGACGTAAAATTATTAATATGCAATAAAAAGTAAAAACAGTATTAAAAGGAGGAAAGGAAAAATTATTCTAGCCATCCTGAGTTCCCTGAGTACCTCCTTATCTTGGCTCCTAAGGCCAAGATAAGGAGGTAATTATCAATGAATTATATAACTTGCAATGTGTACTAAAAGACAAGTATATCGGACAAGATAATTTTCTCCTTAACCCAGACTCTGAAGGAAATTTGCTAATGATAGTTTTGAAACAAGTGGCGTTAGTGTGATGGATGGTGTTGTGGATCGCCCTTTTCTCTTTAGAAATTGTGAGGATATTCTGCATAGGATGCTGGGTGGGGAAGGGGCCGAGAAGTTTGGTCTGGGTATTGTGGATTCAGAGAGAGAGGCTGCAGAATCTGCAACAACGAACAGCCATTTGTTCCAAAGCCCCCAAGTGGGTTCTTGTGAGTATCAGCTGTCCTCGATCAGCTTTGACTGCCCATTGTCAGCAACGTGCTCCCAGGACAGCATGAATATCTGAACGCTGTGGGGCTGCTGAACTCTTCTCTGTGGTCATTTTTCCCCATGGAAATGAGTTTGTGATTTTCTAAATTTATTTTTATTTTATTTTCTTACTATTCCCCTTTGATTTATGGCCATAGCTACTAAAAGTATTGTAAGCCACTGACTGCTCTAGCTATTTGTAGTTAAAAAAGAAATGAACTCACCTTGGACTTGGTTCCATGTAGTGATCAGAGGAATCTTGGTAACGGTACCCTAAGCAAAGCACCGTAATCTACCTTTGCTAAACACCATAATAAAGAACCTTAAAACATAGCACTCCGCGGGACCAGAGTGTCACGTGCCCTCAGTAGACAAGTGACCACTAGCAACTCAAAGGAAGAAATACTAATGACCAAGACATATGTGGAAAATGTTCACCTTCATTAATAATTGTCTTGTAAACTGAAGTCGACATGTGGGGGATAAAGGGTGGTCATGGCAGCTTTCCCTGCCTCACAGAGTTGTGAAACAAATGAAAGAATTACTGAGAAAACACGTCCTGTGTTTTTCTAAACATACCATCTTTGGTGGCAGGGTCCCAAAGAACTAAACCGAAACAGAAGATGTAAGTTGTGTAATGCTGGCAAATCAGTGGTCCAGAAGCAACATGGGAAAAATGCAGTTCCTTGGCCAAGTTCAGGTTCACATGTAATTTAGGGAGGAGTCAGGGACGTGGCTCTCCCCCATCAGTGAAGGCAGCCATGCTCAAAGGAGAGACGAAGCCAGGAAGGACGCTAGCCAAGCCTTGGGCGGAACTCGCAGAAATCGCGGAGTGGCCCCTTTCCTGTGGGCACAACTTCTAGAAAGCGAGAGAAGAGTTAGGTGAGGAAAGAAAGGGTCTCCACAGTGACCTCTCTGTCTCACCTGACCTGTTTGAGAACTCGGGGTTCTTTTTCCTTAACTTGCTTTGGCTTGGCCAGAAGCCTTCCAGAATTAAAGAATTGTTTTAATTCAAAAATAATTGTTTCATAATTCAGTTTCCACAAAATAATACTGCAGGACTCTGGAGGAAGCTTGATACTAAGAAGTGTCTTTATTAGAAGGCCGTATCTGAGGAACTCTGAGAGTGATTACTGATTACCGTGTGCTAACAGAGAGACTCTCCTGGTGACTCATTTCTACAGACTTGTGCCCCGAACTTCAACCCCCCGAAAAGTTTTCATCCAGAAAAATCTCGGTGCCCTCTGGCTGTTCTTACATGGCCCTCCTCCACCCTGTCTCTTCCTGACCCCCGCTCCCCCGTCCCAGCCCCATCACGAACATGCAGTGCACCAGAGTCCGCTGTCACGCAGGCTGCTTTCTTGTTCCTTTCTCTTCGTTTTGGCTCTGGGGTTGTGCTAATTCCCTCTTCCCCGAACAGAAAGCAAAACAGCACTGGAAGCTGGGCCTCTTCAGCCGGGTGTCCCTGAAAGCACACTGCCTCCCCATCACGGCTCGGAGCACAGAGTGTTCTAGTTCCCAGGTGGAGCAGGGGCTGCGCCTTCTATTCACAGGTCCACCCTGTTGCACCTGGAACAAGGTCGGGGCTGAGCCAGTGCCTTTAACTGCAGGAATGTCTGTAAATGAGTCACTTCTGAAAGTGTTGGCAGGCACATGGTTTCCTGAAATGTCCAGGGCAGGTTTAGACCTGGAGGTAGGACTTCAGAGCAGGGTGACCACAGAAGGTACCCCAACCTTCTCCCTAATTTTAGATTGGCCTGCTTCCTATTTAAACAAAACTTAAGCTCTTTTTTACTGTAAAAACTGTAAGTTTTCTAAATGGTGAGAAATTATTACATTAAGACTATGAATGAAGATGAACTTGTTGAACTCACTTATTTTCTCTCTTTTTTAAATTAAAAAAAAAAACTTGTAACTCTCTTTCTAACACACGTCATGTACCTGTCCCTGTCTGACCAAGAATTCAGTCATAGGCAGGGAGCTCAGGCCATTATTGCAATCACTAATGTATGTGACTATAAACGACATGGCACACGGATTTTGATAAATTTGTGGTTTTTCTCGCCCATGACAGGCAAATGAAGAATACCTATGTGAAATGAATGGCTGAAGAAAATTGAAAGAGCCATTTCTCAAATTTGATCACTGGAAAAACATTCAGAGAATTTTTGTTTTTTTACCATTTTTGTTTTAATTTGTCAGATTAGAAATACTTTTACATGTTCATCTTCCCATTAGCGACTCTACACTTCCAGTCAGTTCAACAACTTTCAATTCAAACCCTCTTATTAGTAATTTAATTAATTAATTAATTAAGCCCTCCATGGTGTGACCATTTTCATTTTATCACTAAAGACCATAAAAGCCCATGTTTGGAATTTCAAAATCAGAGGTAACTTACTCCTTTATGCTGTTTAGTTGTTTCCAGTTCACACAGATTACTAATTATTTGAGCATGTTGGGCAAGGAAGATTGGCATAATTGATTTTAAATGCCCCCTTTTTAAAATAACTGGTTCTTCCAGAATAATAGAGTCTTGTGTGCTTCTGAGAGATATAAGATGCAGACATAGTAATGTGGAAACCTTACTTGTTTCAATCTCTCAGACATCCCTGTAACAATTCAAGTATGTGTTAGACCCAGCACCCAGCCAGCGTGCAAACATTAGTCACTCGGCGTTGAATACGTGAGGACAGATATTTCAAGAGCAGATTTAAAATTTCAATGAAACTCAATATATAAAATATTTTTAAGTAAAGCTGGTCTTTATAGAGTGATACTGCTTTCATCCTCAATAAAAAGCAAAACAGGATAATGTAAAATTTCCTTTGCCTTCTTAGACATTACTGAAATATCTTACAGAGCTGATGAAGGTGTTCTGATCATTCTGATCTTCTAATTTCTATGAGTTTGATAATACTGTATAATTTTTATAATCATTGTGTGTTTATGAAGTCAATGTCATAAAAATGCAACAACATAAAATCACAAATAACAATACTGCATTTTCTAACATATCCAATAGTGTCATTTTTTTATCATTTTGTTTTGGTGGTTTTAGAAATGTTATTAATATGCTTGTGTGTTCCTTGATTTTAATTATTGTCTATATGGCCATAATTATCGGGTTTTTTCTCACGATGTCTCTACTTAGCGTACTATTTTTAGTCTAGTTATACTTTAATATTACTCTAAAATACGCAGGACATATGTTTCTGTTTAAGTTCAGAAGTTTGTATATGGGTGTACAGATACAGTAAAACTTCATTAATTCAGAATTTCATAATAAAGAATTATCATTATAATATGGAGTAAAGGAAAGCTAACCTTTATACGACCCCCTTTACCAAGAAAGTTAGTAAAGATGTCTGTTGGAAGTATTTAAACTATCTCAAAACTGTCATTAAAGACTCACCTGTCCTGTCTGCTTGCATACAGGGCTGCTAGTCACAAACTAGTCACTATTCAGGAGCCCAACCAGCTCTTTATTGGGATGTAGTTATTTGTTAGTTTGAGACTGTATTAGAATGTTTAAAACCTATGTTTTAGGAAAAAATCTGTAACAAGGCACCTTCATAAATACTGTATTTCAATTAGTATAGAATAATGTTTCCAAATATTTTGAAATATTAACTTGTGACACCACTTTTGATAATGGAATATAGTGTCTTATCAAAAGAGTCTGTGAGTTTTCTCTGAAAAACATTTTGGTATTTAAACGTCTACTCTAAAAGCCTCCAAGTAGTATTCCTCCCGAAGGATGATGGCCTGTAATTTACTGCAAACGTTTTCAAGATACAATTGATATTTTCATATCCTGAGCTGAAAGAGTTAGTTGTATGAAAAAATAATAATAATAATAATAATAATAATGGAGGATGTAGTATCAGTAATTTTCAAACCCCAGTTGATTGGGGCAGTTATCGCCTGATGTGTGAATGTGTAAAAGTAGTTGAACGGGGAGGAAGGCAGTGTCCCGAGTCTGAGATTCTGTCCAAGTGAGAGCCACAGCAGCCGAAGAAATACATGTTGGGTAAGGAGCACTTCCCTCCCGATCTCAGCTTTGAATTTGTACTGTGCACACGGTACACAGTTAATGTTAATGACCAAAGGTTGCTACCTTGTCATTGCCAGACTCCTACAAGGGTCACACCTGACACCTCTCCTTAGAGAAGCCTGACGTCACTTAGAGCCTTGATTTCTCATCTTTCTTAAACATGACAGGACATTTTGATGTGCGTCCCTGAAAGACGCCCAGATGTTGTGGTGGATGCATGTGAAAGCTATATTTATCTGATGGAAATGAACCTAGAACTGTACTTTGGTCAAAATACAGTGGAAGAAGTCTCATTGTCAGAGTGTTGAACATAAGAGCGCTGGCGTTTTAGTAGGTGTAAGGCCCCTGAAGGGTGTTGGGCTCTCGTTGGAGGTCCAGTTGCAAACACCAATCTCCTGCCTGTATCCCCTCACCCTCAGGGATGCGTCCTCTGAGGCGGACAGCAACATCCGGCAGATCAACCAGGAGGCAGCGCACCGGCGCTTCCGCTCCCGCCGGCACATCAGCGAGGACCTGGAGCCCGAGCCCTCAGAGGGCGGGGACAATGAGGTACACCGTCCACTGCCCCCGACTCTGCACCTCCACCTTCCTTGCCCCCAGCTTGCTTCTGTGTTGTGATTTATTTTCCCCATAGAAGTCATCTACAAAATAAATCGTGTGGCTGCATAGCTAACTTAGAGCCATCAGGATATGAGTTTATTTAGAAAGTGCTTATCAGAGCCATGTTTAATGAAGACATGTATCTATATCATTACAAAAGGGAATGGCATTATTTTTTGTATGGGAATCTTAATATTTTTTTTACTCTATAATTTTTTCCCCTGGTGTCTAACCACATCTTATTAAATGGCAACATGGTTATCCTATTTGAGCACTTGAGCCCTATAACTTGTTTGGGTACCAAATACAAGCTTTTACTGACTATTTTGACATCCCAAAAAATATTACCAAGCAAATACAAATGTGGGTGAATAGAAATGTTTATAATTTCCTCCTGAAATGTTTATGGTAAAGTGCTAGAGGGGAAAGTTATGAACTGAAGAAGAAATGAACAATTTTAACTTCCATGCTACCTTAACAACTCTGTTTACTTACTACAAATCTAGTAAAGATATTGTGTTAGGAAGAAGGGCATTTACAAAATGCTCCAGCGATCAAAGTTGGAAAAGGAAAATTAACAATTCCATAAAATTTACTGATGGGTACTTTATTTCAGTGTTTAATGACCGATTATAGCATCTCTGCTGTTTTCGGTGTGAATCCTGAGCAGTTAGAGTAAAAGAAAATCCATGGAAATCATCAATGAGTTCCTGAGATTATTTTTTTAGCCCATGCATGTAGTAACAAGTGCTCAAAGTAAGTCACAGCTCAGAGAGGAGGGATTATAAAGTGGTTAAGGGGACAGCACCTGGAACCAGGCTTCCTCGTTTCAAAACCTGGTCCTGCCACTTCCTAACACTGTTACCTCGGGCAGGTCACCCTCTGTGCCTCAGTTTCCTCATCTGTTAATTAGGGTAGTAGTCATATCTTTGTCATGATTATTAAGAAGATTGTCTGCCTCCTAAGTGCTCAGTAAATGTTAATTATAGTTGTGATAATGGTTCCTGTTGGGCAGGGGACGAAAGGATTCCTCATTCCTGGCATTTAACTCAGCGTCTCCTTCCCTGACAGCCTTGGGAGACCATTTCAGAAGAAGTGGCCGTCACTGGAGATGCCCTCAGCCTGGCGCTGCCCCCACCCCCCTCCTCCCCAGGCTCCCGGACCAGCCCTCAAGAGCTGTCTGAGGAGCTGAGCAGGAGACTTCAGATCACGCCTGACTCCAATGGGGAACAGTTTGGTTCTTTGATTGTAAGTAATCATCCTGTTTGAGAAGTTAAGCAAATACTGTATCATTTTTCTGTTGCTTTAAGAGAGTCTGATATGCAAATAATGACCAAGGGTCTTCCCATTCCCAGGGGGCTGACATTTTCCAAAGTTCCTCCTAACCTAGGAGACGCAGAGCTATATCTGAATCAGCCCAAGCATGCGAGACCCTTTCTTGATTTGAAAAGAATGCAAGAGAATAATAAGAGGTCCTGACTTCTGTAATTACCAGCTTTAACCTTGTGGCATTTCTTCCCCCAGTCAAAGACTCCTACGTAGAGCTTTCGTCACAAACGTGGCATTTTGCATTGGGACGTGGGAGACGTTGGACCTCCTAATCAGTTCTCTGAAGTCACACTCTGCGTACCTATCATTTCTCAGATGAAGGCAGAGTCTCTACATGACCCATCCAAGACAAAGCTAGAACGGGAGATAGAAGACACCTCCTAAGCCCCAGAAAGTCCTTGACAAGGGTTGTGGGGTTGGGACACCAGCATCAGTGGTAGCGTTTGAATTGGGTTAGGGACACTTTCTAAAAGCTTCAGGTGGAGCTCAGCCCTGATGAGAAGCAGCAGAGTCAGCCACGAAGACCTCTGTTTGACAATACAAAGCTGTACAGAAAAAGCCCATAGAAAATCCCTGCTTATGCATTAAATTAGGAACAAATGCAGCCTCAGTTTCTTGAGAAATTGAACTGAAAGAGGTTCTATTGTAGAGATGGTAGCGATGGCACTGAAAATGACATCCTAGAAAAATAGTCACTATTATATATAAAATGTAAGTGGATAGGAGGGCTGCAAAAAATGTAAAAGCCAGTAAATACTCACGCAACTGTTACTCCTTCACTTACGGCGTTTTTATTTAAAAAGACACCATTGGCCCATATTGTGTGAGTTGCAGTGATTACCTAGTTAATGTGATTTTATATTAAAAGTTTATGAATGCTTTTCCATCAAGAGAAATACCACTGAGGTGAAAATTTAGTACTATAGGGGCAGGAAAAAAAGTTTACATAAATGGGATATTTGAATTGGTAAAACTGTTGCTATGGAAACAATATAAGCAATGAAGCCATATATATATAAAGCCTATAAAACGAAGTAAGTACTACAATAATTTTAGCAATTATACACCTTTGGTCTACCAAGTGAAAAATTATAATACTCTTCAGCATTAATATTAAGTTAGCATCTCCTAATTATTTGTATGAGGAGCTCCTGCATTTACTTAGTAAAGCTGTATAAAATATCTTTAACATCCAAGTGCTAGTGTCAGAATTATTTTAAGATTGTGTTGAGCCTAGTTTAACTATTAAATGAGAGTGCCTAAGAAAGAGGAGAATGTGGGACCCTTCTCTAGTTTGGCTCAGGGTCGCTTTATTCCAGAACGATAGCATGAACTTGGACTAGGAATGACTCCTGCGTGGCAACAGTTGCGGGGAGTCCCCCACCTCCTTCACTGTCCCAGAGTCTTTCTTTGATCCCATTTTAATTATCATTGCAAAATATCAACAATGAGTAAATGCCACAAACGAGTCCCGTGGATGAACCTGTTGCCAATTAGACCCTTGGCTTCTGCGTGTTACCTGCTGTGTTCTCCGACTGAATCTGTTAGACTTTAAAAAAAAAAAAAAAAGAGCTCCACAGATGAATGCAAACAAGTGAGAGGAACATTACACATTACACATTAGATTTATGAGGTTAACTTAACTATTTTTCCTCATTCCTTATCCGTATACCTTCAGCTTCATTGGGAAGCTAAAACTGTAAATACCTGACCCTTCAGAATTAGCACAAGACTGCGTTTCTCTGGATATAGGAGCCCATTGGTTCTTTGTCAACATAATAGTCAATGAGTATTTAATAGCCATGTATCAGTATCCTTCCTCTGCTCATGTCATGCTAGAATTCACTAGAAGTCACATCCCAAAGCAGATTATAAGACTTCCAGCTGCCTTCTTCCATTTTTAAAGCAACCGTAGAGTGTTATGGTGCCCTGTTAAGTCCCCTTTCATGTTTTGTCCTTGTTCTCCTATTTCTGCAGTTATTTACAACTAAAGACCAGGGAAAACCACCATCTGCTTAGAACACTGAGAATGAAAATTGCAGATAGCATGACTCGAAAGGGTTGTTCTCATCCCTCTGGAAAGATGATGTTTCATTTAATTACCTTCCATTATCGTAGAGTGGTGAATAGGATTGAGTGGTATATTTTTTAAGCCCATGAAACATCTTGCCAAGAATGTCTCCTTAATGTTCCTGTCCTTTTCCCCCCACCCAGCAGAGGGAGCCCTCCTCGAGGCTGAGGTCGTGCAGTGTCACGGAGGTGGTTGCAGAGCAGGCTCATCTACCGCCGGTAACCCCCTCATTTCCCGTCCTCACTTGGCTCTGTCGGCTTTTCCTGAAAATCACTGGGGCTGCTGAGGAAGAGTTTTTCCTGTGCAAATCCATTTCCTATATAAATGCAACATTCAAATTTACTAGCCAATGGCCCAAGGAGAGTGGATTTCCAACTCAAAGAATTGTTTTGCCACCAAAGTCTCCAAAATGGTAAAAACTTGATTGCTTAGTTTTTCACCCAAATTAATACCAATTATATTGTGTTCACTTGACTTAAACGACTTAACTAAAAGCATGCATTGATATTTTTAAAAAATATTAAGCTGTGCTCCAGTGGCCTGTATTGTAAGAATATACGGAATCCTTTTAAACAGGAAAAACTCTTCTGGGTTGGGAGCAAGTATGGCTTTCTATGACTAATTGACTAATGGCCTAAACTCTTAACCCCCACAGCCTCTGTACCTTCTCTTTAAAGGCAGTTCTACTCACTAAAGAATCAGCTATAATTTGTTCCCGCTCTCCCACAATTTTTATAACTAGCAGCAAATATGGAAGAGTGGTGGGTGGTTAGCAGTAGAGGACATATGTAAACATGAACATTCCAATTGGACCAGAACTGCCTTGGGAGGTGCTTGGTATACATGTTAAAAATAAGAAATGCTATGTAAATTTTTTTCTTCTTTGGGGGGAGAAAACATGTGGGCTTAGCATGTTCAGTTTGATGTTTGACCATAACCACTATTTTTATGACTACAAATCCTCAATCATTTTTAGCGCTAGCTTTATTCTGTGTGACAAGGGAAAAGTGCACTTGCAGATTTTGAAATCACAGGGTCTTCCCTACCGTGTGTCTTTTGCACAACTCAGAAGGATATTTTTTACTTGGGTTATAGTCTTTTATGTTTACAAGATGGATTCATGAGTACACTAGTCAAGCGAGTAGTAAAATAATAGCTTCCTGTGTGCCTTCTGTCAAACGTGCTGGTTGATGAAGAGCATGATGAGAGCATCCTTTCTGGGGCGGTTTCAGTCCAGGCCTCCCCGCAAAACAATCAGCTGCTATGGGCTTGTGGGGCCACGGCCAAAGGATTCTGTGATTCTCCTTCCTGAATCAATGGCACCTTCTCTCCTTTTCAAAATCCATGTCAATTTCATTTGCCAAAGAGCTCATTTTCCTGGAAACGGATGGGTCCTCCCTCTTGTGCTCTGTGAAGCTGTAAACTCACTGATCACCAGGCGCCTCTTACTCAAAGTTTGAGTTTGGCAGATTTAAGAACCTGCTAATTATTTAACAGTGGGCGCCAAACCATAGCGGTTTTCCTTCTCCCCGCCCCCACCCCCCTAATGAGACATCTGACATTATTCTGACTGAGCCTGTCGCATCATTGCGCCCCCACATGAAGGCTGCACCCTGAGGCTTCTCCGGGTGGGAGGTTGATGGGGACCCTTTTTTACCTCCTGGTCATCAGTGATTCCTCAGCTTTCCCTGGGCAGGATGGCTTTTCAAGGGTTCTGATTCATGTCACCTGCTTGCTGGCTGCAACACAGCGGTGATTCCTGATTCAGTCAACAACGGGTGGTCTCCCTAAGTGCATTTCACTGATGTAAATTATCGTTTAACAGCCCAGTGCCCCAGCTAGGAGAGCGCGCTCGTCAACTGTCACAGGTGGTGAGGAGTCAACGGTAATGCTACCCTTGATCAGACTTTAAGGGCAAAGCTGCGGGTTGATTTTCATATTTGTATAATGGTGAATATGCTCCTTTTTCCTTCTTGTTTTTGGATGACATCAGCTTTTCTTGTGCTGCAGAGATGGATATGGTTTTTCTTTTAAACCTCTCACTTTCATGTTGTTCAAATATGCTGGGTGAAAGTGAACCATTTTTAGTCTCATATAGTTTTATTAAGAACACTGTCAAGCTTTGGTTAAGTACATTTCATCTGACCATTGAGTGAATGAATTGGGTCAGAAGAGAACCAGGGAAGCCTCAGGAACTGAATGCGATCGTACAAGTGTGTAGTTCCAGTTGTGCACAGAATGGTCTCGCTTGTGTTTTCTCTGCCACCTTTTAAACACTGAGCTCAGTTTCCTGTGTCATGAGCTTGACCCAGTGACCTTTCTCTGCTACCAAGGACTCTCCTCACAAGAATGAACAAGCGTTCATATACTTCTTGGGGTGCGGGGCGGGCGAGGCATTTAAGAAGTTTGAAAGGTCTAGAAAAAATGGTGTTTGTTTAAGCCAAGTATCTGATATTGTTATTATTCATTATTTTAAATGATGGATTTAACTACATATCTTAATTGCCCATTTTCCATTTGATCCCTAAAGGACAGGCTAGCCTATAGTTTATGCTTTGAGCTGCTATAGCTATTTGAAGAATTTTCCTTATTGTTTCACCCTTGTTATGTTTGTTATAACTGCTTATTACTTGAGAATACCTTTAAATATATAAACAAGTGCTAATTTTCTGCAGGATGTTAATGATTTAAAAAAATAATTCAGTTATATGGTTAGAATTTAATGCTCACCACTGTACACAGGCAAGTCAAATGGGCAGTCAGCAAAAATCAGCCTCAATTAAGCCACTGAGCCACAACAATTTATGTGAGAGTCCTGTGTTGGGGCAGGCTCAGGCTCCAGTAGAAGTCGTGAACTTCCAAACGAACGAGCTCGTTTCCTGCTGTGCACTAGAAAGTTCTATGGCAGTGGAGCTGCAAGGTAGACAGGATCATTTCATGAAATAATTGTAGTAGAATTCAGTGCTAATGAACATCGTCTTTCATCCACTTTTACATTTCATTGGCCTCGGAACCTTCTGTTTATACTGGAGTGTTGTGGTAGCTGTGATATTAAGCGACAAGACAGGCAGGTTATGCATGAGAGGGCTGGGCTCCATGGTAAGAGCTTCCTGGCAGGACAGGGTGACCATCTGAACGAGGTCCCTGTGGCCATCGCTCTACACTCTTCTTGCTGGGACCCTCCACTCCCCTCCCCCACCAATGAATAAAAAATACATGTTTTCCTTTCCTATTGTATTTTTAAGGCCTGGGCCATAAGAGTAGTCGCTAAATGTTTTCCCTACTCTCATGCTTCCCATGCATCTGGTCATCATCTGGCTGCAACAAGCCAACTTATTTTATGACCACATTTGAAGTTTCCGTAGGTCTGAAAGGATCACATCTGTTTCTTTTTCACAGCCACTGTCCCTCGTCACCGATGCCCTCTGCCTTTCCCTTTTCCAGTTCTGTCTCCTGCCATGGTACCTCCCTCTTCCCCCTCCTCCTGTCCCTCTGCGTGTCCGCCCCGTGCTGGAGTGCGCACTCTGATCCTGGAGCTATGTTCCCCTCTCACGAGCACGCGCACACACACACACACACACACACAGAAATGGGATCTTGGACACACATTACTTGGCAACTGGATATTTTTCTCTTACAGTCATTCCTTTGGGACATGCTTATAATTATGTAATATTCAGTGATGTGAATGGAGCAGTTTATGATATTCCCATGTTGATGAGCGCTCAGCCTCCCGCCCCGCTCGTTTTGGTCCTGCACACCATGTCGCACTCCCCATCCTGTACCTCTGTCTTTCCTTGGCAGTGCTTTTATTTCTACAGCAAAATAAATCCCAATTCTCACCTGCAGGACACAGCCCTTTGATTTGCCACAGATCAGGACACTTCCCTGCTAGCTACGCGTGGGCCGTCTCTAAGAAAGAAGGAGGGGGGCAGCGTGGTCCTTTGGCCTGTGCTGCTGAGACCCTAAAATAAACCAAGGCGACCGGGATGGTGGGGTTTGAGCAAATCTTGGAGTATCTATGGTCGTGCCAAACATTCATCATCTATAAAAGCATATGGAAACTTTTATAGTGTAAACATAATTAAGTTCTTTATTTTCATGAAATAAATGGAACCACTGTGAAGCTGTAGTGGAATGGCTATTCGGCATTAGGAAACATAATAGTCTATTCAGACGAAAAGCTGTGAAATGTTAAATTAAGCTTACGAGCAGCTTTACTTGTCTCTTGACTAATTACCTTGTTTCTTAAGGTAGAACAGAATACACACGCATGCACGCGCCCACGGCAGTAGAAGCCTGGCTGTGGCCCCGGGGCCGGCCCCTCCCGTGCTCTGTCTGTGGAAGATGAGCCTGGCCCCCCTTCCCCTGCCCCGTGGAGTGCGGTGGGAGGCAGTGTTTTGAGTCACAAGTGGCACCATCAGTACAGGTTGTTCTCCGTGGTCATTTGGAAAGAAACCTATAAAGAAACATTTCAATGACACCATCTCGCATAAATGGGACTATATTATGGGTTACTAATTCAGTTCTCATTAGAAAGTAAAAATGAACATTTTAATCAAATCCAGTGTTCTCTACTACACTCCTAATATTCCATGATCTGATTAGTCTTATTAACCGGGTCTACGAAAATAACCTGGTTGCTGGAATAGTCTGCTGGAAGTCATGCAGCTTCAGAACTCTGTTCTGAGATTATGCACGACTCAGCCAAGCTATTTTGGTTTATCAGGCTCCTCATAAATATCCTATCCAAGGATATTATAACTGTAAATCTATCCTTTAAGTTTCTAGAACAGAGTTTTCTAAGGGCCTATCTAATTGCCTTTCCCAAAAAATAACTCAACAAGGAGCAAGAAAAGCAACAAATTCCACTGAGCACTTCATTTAACCAAAGTATTTTTGTTCATACTATAATATAAGCAAGCAGATCATAGCTTGATAGCTCCTACTTTTCTACACAGATTAATTAGCACTAACTTGGAGAACAACTTGGGTTCTACCTTGGTTTGGCAGAGTCATGTTTTGTAGGGCACAGATAAAAAGTAAACTGGCTGTAGCTCTTCTCTGTTGGTGCCAGAGCAAGAGCAGGAGGGAGGAAAGGGTTTCAGGCTGTAGACGAACTCATGTGTCTCTAATACTCAGGAAAGGATCGAGTCTGCGTGTTGGTGTTTCTTCTGCCCTTGTTGAGGGCCTGCACCTAGATCCAGGGTCGGAGTCTTGGAATGAACCATTTTGGGGCCTTTGGGCCTTTAGGCCTTTATCTGGAGAAATGTCAAGGGAGCAGTCACTGCAGTTTTAGCAGAAAGTTCTTTTGCAAAATAATCTTGCCCTGCCTGTTACACGTGTTTGAGAAATAACCGTTGTGGCAGCTGCCATGGCCTCAGTTTTTCTCTGGAATGTGCTGTTGAGCTCACGGAGTAGCATATTGAGTCTCATTAACTGAAGTCCCCAAGTTACATGGTAGCATCCTTGATCATGTGAACTCAGAGTCCTGCAGGGACAGGGGACCCTCTGATGGGACCCTCTCTGCCAGGACACATTGTTGACGGAGAACATACAAGGTGGGATAAGCACAGGCAGAAGCAGGGCTAAGAGAGTCATTGGGTTGGCCAAAAGGTCTGTTACATTTTCTCCATAAAATAAAAGACACATTTTTCATTTTCACCAATAACTTCATTGATTTGGATATTTTGAGTATGTCGGCTATCTCCCACTATTGGCTTCTAATGGGTAGAGGCCGGGGGTGCTGCCAAACATCTTCCAGTGTATAAGACAGCCCCACAGCAAAGAATTCTTTGGCCAAAATGTCAACAGTACCAAGAAACTTTGCAAACCACTTTTGACACTTTTGATCAGTCACGGCACCTTCTCCATACACTGCACAAATCGTTTTCTTGCGTTTCAGTTGCATTTTTACCTTTCTTAAAATAATAAAGCATAATACATCAAAAGTGTTACATATTTTCTTCCATCTTCATTATTAACATGGCTGCACAAAAATTTACCAACTTCGGTAAGTTATTTTTTTAATGCATGCTGTTATGACAGCTGTCAGAATATAGTCTAACAAAGTTGTTTCAAATGAAGTTAAAACAACTAAGCGCTATTAGAGCCATCGTATGGAAAAAAAACATTAATGGACTATTTGGCCAACCCTATGCATCCTCATCCTAATACCAAGAAAACAACAGCCGGTAAAACACCTGGAGGGTGAGGAGATCCTAACTCGGGAAGGAGGTGCCCAGAAAAAAGTGGCTCCTTTGTGCCTCATGTAATGTTTGGCCTCTTGCTGCTTTTGCGTTCTCCGGGGAGCCTTGTTAGCCACAGTTGGCTTCTTGTTTCCGAGCCCCTGCCCTTAGACTAGCACCCTTTTCCCAGTTACAGATCTGGTGTGCGGCATCCACACATCCAGGACTTCCTCCTGAGACAGCACTGACCTCAGATGTCCGTTGCTCCCTCCTTGCATAACTGAAATCTCCTTGCTATTCCAGAGTCCTCTACCCTGACTGCTGGTGACAAGCAAAAGTGTCCCAGGCGTCCTTTTTTGATCTAATCTGAACTCTCTAAACATAGTCACTGTATACCGGACATGTCTCTGACCCCGGAAATTGCCCGTGCTTCCTTCACCCTTTAAAGAGCCAAGCTCCGCATGTGCAGACGGGATAAATACAGCCTCAGTTCTCAGGCTTTTTGGAATTCTGACCTCATGTTGCTGGGTGGCTTCCTGAGCTGGGGCAGTTCAGTGTCCTGGTCGGTCCTCTTGATTATAGGCATCTGGTGTGAATGCAGACCTCCAATGAAAGACATGATGCAAAGGCCCTACCTAAGCTGATGAGAATTCAGGAATAAGCAAGGAGAGTGTCCCTGTGGCAGCTCTGTTGAGGGAAGAACATTCAGAGCTTTCCTTCACAGAGAGTGACATTTGACCACTGGAAATACTTTTAACCCTTACATAGCTTGACAGTAAAATTTAGTGTCTAAAACATTGTTTTCTTTTCCTTTCCTCTCTCATGAGCAACAACCTTTATATTCAAGACTTCATGGCATTAGAACTGAGTGTTGTAAGATGTTAGATGTAAGATGTAAGATGAACTCCACAGGGGTTCATGTCATAGTCAGTTAGAAAGTACTGGAAATCGACTGCTGTTTTCCAAATGCTAATATTTTGGGTACCAATAAAATTAACTTATTTTGTCTAGAAAAAAGTAATTCTCTGGGTGTACATTACTTTATTAAACTGATCAGAGCCAAATGCATGAAATAATGATGATTTCTTACACAAACAGCCATCAGTGGCCTATGTACATACCACGCCGGGCCTACCTTCAGGCTGGGAAGAAAGAAAAGATGCTAAGGGACGCACATACTATGTCAATCATAACAATCGAACCACAACTTGGACTCGGCCTATCATGCAGGTACGCAGATCGCCAGGCAATGTACTCTTGTAGGCAGGCGGGGCTGAGATGTATGTGAGCTCCTTGCTGCGGATGTTTATGTGTTGCCCTGAGAACCCATGTTTTAGAATTCTTTTTCCACAAAGAAAATACCTTATTTTAAGTGTAATACATGCCTGAGGAAGAATTTGGTCCCCAAATCAGTCTGTCCCTAAATACAGTTTCTTAATGTCATGTGAAAGATATTTTCAAAGTAAGAATCTATGACAATGTGTATTGTGTCTACCAACCCTCCCCCACTTTTCCTGAGGCTCATTTTCATGGGCTAGTGATTCATTTTTATTTCCTTTGAATGTTTCCTCCTCCTCCCGGCCCCCCCATTATTATGTTTAATCATTTCCTCCATGCTTTTAGTAAACCAGACCTCTCATTACTGCTGGCTGTGTTGTTGTTTGGGGCCAGTCTCCCCAACACACACACACAGACACACACACACACACACACACACACACACACACACAGATCCTCATGTGAAGCTAACTTGTTTTTGCCTCCAACATAGCTTGCAGAAGACGGTGCGTCTGGATCCGCCAACAGTAACAACCATCTAGTCGAGCCTCAGATCCGCCGGCCTCGTAGCCTCAGCTCGCCAACAGTAACTTTATCTGCCCCACTGGAGGTGAGAAGGCTGCTCATCTAACTGGGGTCACGTCTGTCCTGTGACTTCTCATTCTCTCTTCTCTCTCCCCTTGGACTTCAGTTTTGCCGCCACCTGCCTGTCTCATCACTCGGTGTGTTCGCAGTGAAGGGCGCTCCGTGCAGCCTGACTGCATGCTTCTCTGTCCCGCCAGCCCGCATCCCTGGACTCTCACTTGATCCTCCTCCTCACCTGGCTGGGGCCATGGTGGCTTGTGCTGGACATGGGCCCCTCTTCTCAGAACTCTCTCCGTTCATGCTGTGTTTTGCTCCTTCTTGCCCATTGTTACCTCATTGGACATGCATAATAACTCTTCCAAGTACCAATGCTTATATTGAGTTTTAAATCATAGCTGTGGCTTTGATCATTTCATTTCCTTTCAACTGGAGGGTCTGTCATTGTATGGGCACATGTGTTTCTGATGCATATCTGTGTCTCTAAGTCATTGCTGGGCATCTGCTTGTGCTCTCCTGTCTGTGTGGTTTTAGTTCCATCCCTTACCATCACTGTGTCAGAGACTTGGAGCAGCCAGAGAGTAAATATTTGAGTTCTAAACTTGACTGAGTCTTAGAGATAGTGGTAGGATTCTCCGTGCCCTGGGCTTCAGGTGCTGATAAAAAGGAATAGATGATCGCTGTCTTCCGAACTGCGATAGAAATGTCATGGGTAACTATACAAGTCCATGTAGGTGTCTTCGATGATACGGGGGTTTCTTTTTGTGCTCTGCCAATTGCCAATCCATTCTTCAGTGGAGTGCGAGCTCATGAAGGGCAGGGGCCTGTTTTTCTCCACCCTCTGTAACATCTGCATCCATAATTCCCAGTAGAGAACAATATTTTTGTTATATGTCCAGGAGCTATCAAAGGATGGTGGTTTAAAGTAATTAATGTCACGCGTTAACCAACAGAAAAACTTTAGAGTGAGTTAAAAATAAGTAAGTGACAGAAACAGGTCTTTTAGGAGCTGCACCCTTGTCCCTCTCCAAAGAGGGACGTTCGCGATGCCCAGGTACATTTTGACGCAGCTGCCGTAGCGCCATGAGAAGACTTCTAATGCTCATTGTTATTCCTTAGGGTGCCAAGGACTCTCCCATACGCCGGGCTGTGAAAGATACCCTTTCCAATCCACAGTCCCCACAGCCATCTCCTTACAACTCCCCCAAACCACAACACAAAGTCACACAGAGCTTCCTGCCACCGGGCTGGGAAATGAGGATCGCGCCAAACGGCCGGCCCTTCTTCATTGACCATAACACAAAGACTACGACATGGGTAAGATCGCTGCTTTTGTTCGGCCCCGTCCCCATCGCGAGGTCTGGCACTCATTCCTTCATGTCCCCACTCTGTATTCATGGTTCTCGTAGAGAAACGTCATCGACACCGACGCCGCTCTCCAGAGGTTTGCCCAGCCTGCTTCAGGATTCTGCACCTGGGGGCTGGCGGGGGCGGGGGACGTGTGGGCACAGGGCAGGGGCAGCTGTCGGCGCCAGGTCGGATGCCTTCCCTCCATGGCCCCCTGGAAAGCTGTCATTTTGACAGTTTATCATATTTGGGGGGGAGGGGGCAAGCAGTGTTCCGTATTGCCAGCTTGTTGATGTTCCTGTTTCACATCTCATGATGGTGTAATAGGAATTCTAATCATTTGAATAAGAATTTTTCTGTGTCCGTTTCTTTTTGCCTTTTTATTAACATGGCCCATCTTTTTTTGATTTGTCCCTTTAGTTAGGACTGTTCACCTCAGATTGGTGTCTTGTGCGTCTGTGCTGCATTTCACACCTTTATTTTTGGTGACAGTTTTGTCCAGCTTGATTTTTCTGCCCACGCTGCTCTTCCCCATGCCTGCGGGTCGTACATGAGAAAGAAGCTCTGTGTTGTAGTCCCTTGGACAGGATGGGATTCATCAAAAGGGAACGGACATATCTTTCTATTCCCCTGTCAGTTCATTTTTTAGCTGAATCCAGGGTGGCTTATGTAACGTAGCATACAGTTGTTTTTTTTTAAAGGTCAGTAGTGGTTTTCTACTCATGGCCCACAGACCTATGATTGAACTGAAATTAGTTCTCTTGTTTCTCACTATTTCTGATGCTGCAGGAGGTTTGTTTTTCTTCCTCTCCCTTATGTCCCCAACTGATGGCCTGGGTACAGAGTTTAACTCAGTCCCTCTAGCACCTGCGCTTCTTGCTCAGAACTGATGGGATGGGAAAGCTGGCTGAGTTTTGGGATTGTTGGTCTCGGACCAGCAGGGCACACACGCTGTACACTCCTGTTTCCAGTGACACCAGGTGTGTCCGGTTGATAGAACAGTAGTATGGCATTAACGAAGTGGTCTGGACTGTCATTTATCCTTGCCCGTGGCATGATGTTAATCAGACCCTTGAGAATTGGACTAGATGGCCCAGATGGCGTGCGTGCTCTCTCTCAAATCCTCCAGATGGACCATGGTACAACACATCTCCATACGGACGTTCTCGGCATTTGGTGAAGGACTGCGACCATGCCTTATTGCAGGACACTTAACATCCTTGGTTCCTGCCACTGAATAGCCACCATTTCTTGCCCTCCCCCAACATAGTGATAACCAACAATGTTATCGTACATTGGCAAACACCCTGCAGTGAGAACCAATCTAAAAGTTTTTCCTATTTTAAAGTAAAGTAATAGCCTGCCAGGAGAGTTTATCATTTAGATCCTGGTGATATTCACTAAACTCATAACTACCTCTAAGGCGTATAATAACATGTAGCTTTGTTTGACTCACCTTTGAGTCTGAACATCATATTACAGGTTTGTAGCTGAGATGAGGGTAAGAGATAGGCAGGCCACTTTGGGGAAAATATACTAATGGCGTTTGTTTTTTTTTTTAATCCTCACCCAAGGATATGTTCTTTTGTTGTGGTTGTTTTTATTGTTTTTAGAGAGAGAGGAAGGGAGACAAAGGGAGACAAACATCGATGTAAGAGAGAAACATCATTGGTTGCCTCAGATGCATCCCGATCGGGGATCAAACCTGCAACCCAAGTATGTGCCCTGACCGGGAATTGAACCCTCAACGTTTTGATGTAGAGGAATGATGCTCCAAGCAGCTGAGCCACCCAGCCAGGGCAAGATTGGTTTTTAAGTTTTTTTTCCCCTCGTTGACATAGAATGTGGGGCTGTCCTGCTCGAGTGGCCATTTCTACAAATCCTCAGTCAGAAATGGGAGCTCCAGAAATAGGGGGTAAATAGTATAAAAGTAGATGGATTAGTGTATGGAGCCACTGCGGCTCGCCAACATAAGCTCTGATTTTAGTAATTGGAACCAGCTTAGTAATCAGATTCCCCTGACCTTTCCACAGCCTTGCACGCCCCCACCGCAGAGTAACCACAGCTGGGCAGATTTTACGGCGAACAGCACCAGTGTAATTTGTTGCCTACATCGCTGCTGAACGAAACCTGGGTTGAATTTCCAGGCTTCCCTTTCTACCCAGATGCTTGTTATTGACTGATTTACTGATTTAAAATTTTAATTTGTTAAAACAGCATTTCGTTGCTGCTGCCAGTGTTGAAAACCCTTAAGGTAACAACTGGAAATTCCCCCGGTTACTCCCCTTCTTAATCAGACTTAATCAGGCCGGCCCAGCTGCTGTCTCTCCTCCCAAACAAAGGCCTGCACAGAATTCTCACTGTCAGAGGAGGGCTCGGAACTGCCTGTTGATCTGGACAAAAGATGGAGGGACGCAGGGAACTGCAAAGATAACGTGCAGCCTAAAATCTGTTTTGAGTTGGTTCGGGCTTTGCTTCGTTTTTTTCAAAGAGAGAACAAATGAGCGGTCAGCATAGCTTTTCTTAGATTTGAGCCTTACGGTGAAAAAGGAAGAAAGGCTGGTAGCACAGGGGGCGTAATGATGGTGGGGACCCCTGTCCCCATCAGCCCGCGTGCTCTTGACCCCTGCACCAAACCAGAGCATGCGGAGATTCCGGGCAGCAGCATCCCTCGGAAGCCTGCTTCTGAAGCACGGCCTTGCGTGAAAGCAGTGGGCCCGCGGTCCGTCTGGGGTAACGTCGCAGGCCCCGTGCCCGACAGCGAGGGCCTGTGCACCATGCCCCGCCCCTTAGTACCTCCTGGGAGAGGACCAGGCCTGTGAGTTGCTGACAGGCCCTGTCCACATGAGGATTCCTTGTGGCCAGACTTCCAGCAGTTGGTTCACCTGTCCCCACCTGGAGCGGGCCACGGATGCCTGAGGGAGGCCACCAGGTGCCTGTGGAGAGATGGCAGGAGGCCCCTGGTTTGCCTGCTCCGCCTGCTAAGCATGCATGCAAGAGCGTGTTTATGTCTCCTACGGGCCAAAGCATTGGCTTGTTTTTGCCACAAGAAAGAGCCTCTACCTTAATGAAGTTTCAGGTTTGTTTTCTACCTGTTCCAAACCAGTAAAACTCACAGTAGCCCTGACATGGCTGTCGATGTCTTCCAGGATGGAGGGGAAAAGCTGTTCTTCTGAACTAGCGAGCACTCCTTTTTTATATGTACGTGTGTGTATAATGATTCTGCCAGGAAACCTTTTTGGTTTTTAACAAGATGTTGTTCGGTGTGTTCTGTTTAAAACTCCTTTCCACTGTATGAGGGGAGCCGTTGGGAGACACTGGAATCATTGTGAAGGAGTGAGTGTTCTCACTGTGCTGAGGAAAGGGAGAAACAGTCAGATGTGCTTCTTCATGTTTTATTCATTTATAGTCATATCACTTGAGACCTCATTAGTGCCCCAGCCATTGGCATCCCTACAGTTGTCATCACTCATCTGGGGCCTTGGCTGCCCTCCACCGGCGCCTTCAGCTTGGGGGTGCCTCCTCCTTGGTTGTTCGGGGGACTCGGGGGGGACGGGGAGTTCAGTGTGCCCCTCGACTTGGGCTTCAGAGATTGAGAGATTGCAGCTGCTGCCATTATTTTATTTTTCTTGGTATAATAAAATAATATGACTCCTAAGGCCCTGTAACCCTCACATTCCATTAATCCTGGGTTTTCATGCAAGGCCATCGTAGCAGACCTGTGACGTGGAGTTTATTTTATGCTTACGCTTCCCCCCCGCCACCCCCCCCCCACCCCGCCTCTGCTCACCAGTACTTTAATTTCAGGTGTTTCTCCCCCTTTGAAGTCACCAGCTTTCAGCCAAAATAGCTGGTTGTCTTTCACAGTAGCCTGTGTGTGCAATTCCAAGCACGTCTGGCCTTGCAGGTAGCGTCGGAAGCCCCCGTCCTCGTTCATGCACGGCAGTCCCAGGCTTTGTCCTGGGCCCCTTCGGGGGCCGTGTTCCCCAGGGTCCCTGCAGCGAGCCAGACCCTCGCTGGCCCAGCTCAGAGTCTGCCCTGAGTGGGTAGCTTGTGTGGAGTCTGTGCTCGTAAATTTTTCCTCTGTCACAATTAACCCATCACAAATGTTCCGCAGGATATCAACTGTTCGAAAGTTTTAAATCCTAAGTCTGTTTAATATATCTGTTTACACGGTATGTGTTCCAATATACTACTGGACCTACTTTATGCCTTTACTTCTCCTTTTTTAAAGCATATCAGTGAGGATCAGGGTCAATAGCCATCATAAACCACTAACATGATTAATTCTGTCAATTAAAAGTTTGCTATAGCTAACAGAAAACAAAGGTTAATTTTTTGTGTGTGATTTTTTTTTTATGTTTGCCAATTTCAAAAATCTATCACTTTGTTATAATCCAGTAATACTAATGGGTTAAACTGTTGACTTGGGGAAAAAATTGTAACTTTATTGAAATATGATTCACATACCAAACAATTCACCCATTTAAAATATACTGTTGGACGGTTTTTAGACAAACATTGAAGATGAGCAGCTATCACCATGGCCAATTTTAGAACATGTTCATCACCCCCAAAGGAACCCATTAGTAGTCACAAAGTAAATTTTATTATTTTCCAAGGTTTATACCAATTATTTTGTTTACTGGATGACTCGGGAAAATGCTGAGGCAGAAAATCTTTTACTCATTTGACAGTAGGCTTTAATTGAAGTAAAGGGTTATTTTTAAAGGATTTTTTAAAATTTTAGGCTTTTTTTTATTGACATGTTATTATTCTGCATTTTATCATTTGTTTTTTAACCTTTTGAGTTTAAAATACGCGTTCCCTTAGTTACCTTGCATTTTCACTGGGTCTGTGTAAGTGAGAGGCAGCTCCCAGGCCCTTGGTCAGAACCTCTGGGCGAGCTCTCGTTCTTTCTGACACTCCGTTTCCTCATCTCAAGACACAGAGATCATGTGTTCAGCCTTTTAACGGCGAGCTTGCAAGATCATACGTCTGACTGTACTTTGTCAATTAGAAAACGTGACCGAAGATGTCAGACTAGGGATTTTTCTTTTGTCGGTTCTCTGTGGTATCTTTCGAAGCACACCCCTTAAGAAGAATCTTTGGCCAACTTTTAAGTATTAAGACACACATGAGAGTCGAATCTGCAGAGCTTGAGAATCTCGGTAAAACTGTAAAGTAGGGATGAGACTGTGTGAAGAAGTGAACTCTCTCTGGGATAGCATGTGGCTTGCCAGTCAGACCAGATTGAGACTCTGCTTTCATTCAGGAAAGACGGGGAGGGAGGAGCAGGGAACGCAAGGGCTGATGGGGAGGCTCTTCCTAACTGTTAAGCAAGCCGCCCTGCACCAGAGGTCTGGATCCACAGGGAGGCTCGCACACCAGGGATTCCTTCACTCCCTCTTCCATGGAGTAGGGCCGCCTCTTGGCTGGCAGCCTTTATTCTGGTTTCCATAGTAACATTACTGTTGGAACCCTCTTCCTCTTCACCTTCACCGTCTTGGGAAAACATTTAAACGATCTTACTCTCCTTCTTTCATCAAGGACAAGGAGGAAGAGTGGAGTCTTTTTTGAAAGATGGTCACCCAGGCCTCCTGTTCAAAGATGGGACCCTCGCGTCCCCCTGTGCGCACGGGAGTGTGGCTCCGTGCACATGCGCCCTGGTTGCCTTGGAGCACACAGCTCCCGAAGGGGAGGAGCCAGTGGCAGCACACAGTCATCGCTCCTAACACCTTCTGCCTTTTACATTTTTCTTGCAGGAAGATCCACGCCTGAAATTTCCAGTGCATATGCGGTCAAAGGCGCCTTTAAACCCCAATGACCTTGGCCCCCTTCCTGTGAGTACAGTGGAGACACGTGGACAAGTCGGAAAATATTTGTTCACCCATCTGCCTAGTGTTGATGGGGAGGCCCTGTGACCTCTATCTCCAGGCTTTCGGGGTCCCATTGGTCTATAATTTCTTCATAGATTTGGGTGTATTGCTGAACTCTAACAGTCCGTACAATTCATCCAACAGCCAGTATGTATGAAAGAGGTTTCTGAATTGCTAGCTGTTGGTAGAAGGTAAACGAGGATGTGAAAGGCATTCTTTACAGGTGACAATTTAAGTAGCACACGTTTGTTTAGTAACATGGCAACCGCTAAGTTCCACCCGTAATGCTGATTTAGTCAGTAGGAACAAAAATATTAAAAACAGTGGGAGAAAAAGGCACAGGTAACCACAGACCATTTTTGTAAGACATTTAGCGTGTAGCTATTTTAGCCTGTAAGACATATAGCCTGTAGCCGTGGTCAATATCAGCTTATAAATCTAATTTTTTTTATCCATTTGTTCTCTTTGGAAGCTTGAATGGGATTGAGCTATTTACTCCAGGTTGGATTGTGAATGAAATTTTCCTCATGCCTCCTCCTTGACCCATCCCCAGTAAACAAAAAAGCCTTATGGGGGTGTGGGAGGGATGGAACGCTAAGGCCCTTTTTAAGTGGAAGGGCACCAGAAAGGTTTTTATTGGGTTTTGTTTTTGGGGTTTTTTCCAAGCATAAGAACCTTTCTTGTTGCCTGGTGTGTGGTGTATAAAACAAAATTCGAGGCTAGGAGGGCTAGGGTTCCATCTTTATTCCTTAGGTTATACAAACGCCCCTCGCTCTCCAGTTCTGCTTGGTTCCTGGGTTTAGATGAAAAGAGCCCAGAATGAGTCTGAAGAGGGAGTGTCGAAAGGGAGTGATTGCGTGTGGTCTGGACCTGTGAGGCTCCAGGGTTTCAGACAGCAAGTAGGCACAGTCCAGATAATGAGAGCATACCTACCCTCTCCAGAAAAAATTACCCATGTCTGTTTGGTTCCCGAGTTTGAGCAGCGAGAGTTCACAGCAGAGAATTGCACGTATTAGATTCTCCAGCCAGCGATGACATGAATAAAGTAGCCACCTCTAACATTTTCATGTGAACCTTCCTCCTCCCTTTAGTACTCAGTAAATATCTAATTAAATGAGGTAATCAACCCCCAACACAACTGCGCCATGGTTTGCTGAAGTTTCCCTTTGAAGCTTTTGAAATAGCAGCCCCTGTTTCCTGTTCACGTTGTGAATGCCTCTGAGACGGTGAAACATGTGATTCGAGTGTGTTCCTGGATGTTGTCAAGGGCTAACCTGAAGTGCTCGTAGTTCATTCCTAATGTCAAAGTGTACCCAAGGGGGATAGAGTAAGAAAGTGTCCCAGCGTGTCTTCATTTTACCTTTGATTTTGGCTTGGCTCGCTCATTTTTGTATTCTCTCTCTCTTTCCGACACCAGCCTGGTTGGGAAGAAAGAATTCACGTGGATGGACGGACATTTTATATTGACCACAGTAAGTAGGCGCTGATGCGGATGCACAGGGATTGCAGGTAAAGGGAGGGGGAGGCTGTTTCAAATATGACAGTGAAAGCTTTGTTGTTTACTCTTTGTCTAGGCAGCCAGGTGTTATGTGGAGAGAGTGATACCAGAGAATCAGTGCCCCCGCACGGTACTGTGCATTCCCCCCAAGTTTGCTGTAAAGTAGCCCGTCAAGCTTTTACCCAAATTGATCTTGTGACCTATTAACTTTTTTTAAAATTTAAGAACCCTTTTTTTGGTTGATGACCCCTTGACTTTTGTGCTTTTAATAAATACACTCTGGTAATAGAAAATAAGATTAGAAGTGACAACAGAGTCCAAAATCTGTGCGTGCACAATGCTTGGCGCAGCATATGGGTGTTTTAAATGCTGCCTTTGCGGGTGTCAGGGCGAGGTGCCCGTTCTGACTTATTTTCTATTCATAGCATGTTTCCTTGCACCCAACACACTAATATATATGCAGTTCTTTTCTCAAAACTGTAGTATATTTGCTGTAGATGTTCGCTCCAGCACCTATGAAAAAAATGTGTGGTTTCTCATTTCAACTAAAAGTTAAACTAATAAAAGTTTGCTTTTAGCCAGTGTTTTGTTTTTCTTTCTTGAAGTGACACATTCTCCATGTTTATACACACCTTATAACTTCTGAAAAGGTACATTAAAGAGAAGTCTCTAAGTAGATTTAAAGTTCAAATGACACGTGCAGGTTGGTAGTCGTTGCTCTTCGATGTCATTCGGTACCAGGTTTCCCCAGCCTCTCGTTGTCTTGTCCCATCACGTTGACTAGTTAAGCACATCGGTGAGCCGGCTGCTGGGAAGCCTGGCCAAGAGGATGGGGCTCGTCGCTTGCTCTCAGGCTTAGTGCGTCTTCCCGGTGTTCCTCAGCAGTCAAGTGATCAAGCGCGTTGTAGACAGACCTTTGTTTTCTGGCACGGGGTAGGGGAGTTGGTTTGAGAGGTTATTATAAATTGAATTATGCAAGAAGCCCAGTAATTCAGAATTAAACCAAAAGTAGAAGTTCTCAGTATATTTAGGGGTATGAGCTACCCTTTGGTTTAAATTAGATTATGTCCAGGTACAGAGGCCTAGTTTTTTTTGTCTTTGACCAGTAAAAACTGTTTGCCTACTTTCTGGAATTTTACAGTGAGCATAAAATTGCTGCCATAAAAGCTTTAAAATAAGTGTGTTTTCCTTAATATGCTATTTATCGTTTGCTTAGCATAATTTGCTAAAAGAGGGGGTTCATATTCCTTTTGCCAATTAAAAACAAAAAACAGGTGTTGTTTTTGCTTTTATTTTCTTCTTCAGTTTTTTTTATACCTTACAACTTTGGTTTTCAAAGATAGGTACAAAGAATAATGATTTTATTAAAACAAGGTCTTACCCAGTAATGCCACCTTGACCTGCTACACACAGAGTATCTCACACAACACTGTGGCTGTGTCCTGGCTGGTGATCTTCAGGTCAACCTGAAAAACCTTTAGAAATGTTCCTATGGTACTGCAAGGACCTAAAGACAAGAGAAACACTATTGCAAACAGCCATCCTAGTGTATATTAGAAATAATAAAATCAGAGACTATTTTTCTAGTGGCGTGCATAGAACTAAGATAATATGTAGTAGATGTTTTGGAAAACAGTGACTCGAAGTGGGTCCATGGAAGGTCCGTGGTGATGTTGTTAGGAAGTTGATGCCCTTGGTCAGAAAGGGGAAAGAATTTGCCCTGAGAAGCAGCAGCAGCACCGGCAGCCTGGGAGGCAGAGGGGGCAGTTACGTGCTGAGTGCCTGGGCCACGTCTTAATCCTGATCAGTCCACGGGACCCTCCAAGCGTGGCGTCCCTCCTGTCGCTTGCTAGAACAGAGCACCTGGGGCTCCTCTTCCCAGGGATTAAGATCTGCCTTTGCTTAGCCATGCTGAAAGGTTCTCTTAACCAGACATAATGTAAACTGGACCAGAAACGATACAAAAGAAAGATCTGGTTAGGAGAACCTCATTAGCTGTTAATAAGAGCATTCTGCCATTTCTCCCAATTTGTCAAGGTTTACTCAGTGGAAGGCGATTAAGGGGTACCCGTCAGTGAAACAGAGTTCAGTTCATATGCCTTTTCCCCAAAATCCAGCTTATGAAAAGTGCAGAATACCTGTCTTTGTAAGCGGCTTTTTGTCAGGCTGATCGCGACACTCCAAAATGAACTGAATTGCCTGGTGGTGACATTAGAAATTTCCCTGCCTTCCGAATGAGCCTCCCTTTCCAAACAGTTTTCCAGCATCTGATTTCGAGCAAAATTCAGCATCTCATTTTGCTGGCACAGAACAGAAACCAGGTCACCCTTCATAAGCCATTTTACTGTGAAAGCAGTCATCTTATGAGTTATTCAGAGCCACGCCGTCTCCCAACATCCCTGGGACAGGTGGCTGCACTCTGAATGCCAAAGACTGCGATGCACTTACCTTTAAAATAATTAAGTTATTTGTTTTCCGCTTCGTAAACTCTTGAGAAGTTAGACATTTTCAAGATTAATAATTTCAACCATCTTAAAAGTTAAATTTCAGAAGAGAGAATGCTCAGTACCAGTCTCTGTAGATGTCTTGATTCATTTGGCTGACATTTATGGAATAGCTTGTTTGTCTCAGGCCTGGTGCAGAAGGTCAAGGGAAGACCTGGAGCTCAATCTCTCCCTCTCTTTGAGGACTTGTGTCGTTCTTAAAGACCAGATATTCCCAGCAGCTCAGTAACGGGCCACAGGTATCTGCCACATGAAGCTAGGAGAGAAAATTAAATTCCACCGATGCTATAAATCCTGTTTTCAGCCTGTTCTGCCCACAGCCTTACCAAACCAGTTAATAGTCGCCAGGTTGACTTTCTCATTCTTTTACTTCATTCTTGTCCCTTTATTTGAAAAATGACTCGAAGACACAATTCAAATTTAGAGTCCAAAAATTTTAGGGTGGGAGGGAATGGATAACTGGCCACCATGCATTCATATATTGACTGTACTTAGCTGCAAAATGAGTCTTTATTGTAACCACACAGAAACTTGTATGGTTCTGGAAGCTCGGACAATTTTAAAGGAACTTCGTTTTCACTATCTACGTCGTTTGGTCATTTAAAAAAATAGCATATTGTTAAGCTCCTGTTGCTGCTAGGAAATGTGTTAAATGGTGGAGAGGAGGCCGCAGGGAGGAATAACACACAGCCCCTGTCCTTGAGGGGCATGTGTTCTAGCAGGGAGGACCAGGGAGCGTTGTAAGTGTCTTGTTAATGTAGAAGCAGACGAGGCAGGGCACACCTGCTTGGGAAGTGGCTGAGTGGCCGCAGCGGGCCGGGGGCCGGGGGCCGGGGGCCTGGCTGCAGAATGGATTACTTCTCAGACAGATCCCAGATGATGGGGAAGACCCGTCAGGCACGCCCAGTGAAAAGTGCTTCCCATGGGGGGAAGGCACGTGCAGGTGCTGACGGTGCCCAACGAGAGAAACGCAGCGGGGCTTCCCACGGCCAGGGCACCGGCGAGGCCGGCGGCACAGACGTCAGGTCATAGGGGGTCTGCCAGCTGTGGGAACTCGGGCCCTTCTGCAGGCAGGAGGGAGCCCCTCAGGGGCTTTCCAGTGGACGTGACAGTAGATTTGTCTTCTAGAAAGATCCTTTTGGCAGAGCTGTCATGAGAGTTCTGAGCAGGGATGAGACTGAGGCCAGGGAAGCGGGGAGGAGGGTCCGGGGAAAAGATGAGCGCTCCGAAAGGAGCCTTGGCAGAGCGAGGCTGGGGCGGGTTGGGGACCAGCAGAGGTGAATGGCGAGGGCGGAGAAGGGTGTGTGCGGATTCCGGATTCGAGCAGTGGATGGGCTGTGAACGCAGGATCGCAGGAGCAGCGCGGGGGTTGGAGGGTGACGGATTTGGTGTTGACAGAGTTGGGCCGCAGAGACCTGTGGGAAATGCAGGTGCAGATGTCTGGGGTGGAGCTTGCCGTTCAGGTCTGGACTGAAGATTTGGGAGTTGTCATTCATTTATCTTCTGCTTTGATGACAACACCCAGCGCTTGCAGTTAGAGCCCAAGGCAGTTACTCCTCGGCCCTATTGTTCCCATTACTTCATTTCCCGCTCTACTGTTCTCCATCGCAGTAGCAACTTTTGCTTTCCAAAATGTTCTGTTTTCAAGGTAAGGGACCCAAAAATGCCTTTTGCTTCCATTAAAACGCTCTAGAATGGTCAAAACACTTCGTATGAATTCTCTTCCAGCACTCACAAATCTAGAATCATTATGTGCTTTGGTAACTTTATTTTAAAACTTTATCTCTGCTTCTATTAAAATAATTATAATACCAGACTCTGAAATATTCCTGGTATGGTCATTATAACCAAATTTATGAGTTATTCTTATCAGTTCACTAACAGAATGTACAGGAAATAATTACGTTCAATATGTTTCTCAAATAATTTCCCATTTTTTAAAACCAACTTAGATTTCCTAAAACTCCAGAGAGAACTCCTTTTCCCCCAGTCTCTCCTCCCCATTGTCTTTCATGTGGGTTCATCCCGTCCCCACCGCACGGGCATGCACACACCGTAATCCATAAAGTCTTCTTAATTATACACAGTCACAAATCCCATATAATCAAGGGTAGCTGCTGGGTAGTGCTGTATAAGTGGCATTGAACAGTCTTACTAACGTTAACTCTTTTGGAAGAAAGAAAACCACTTCTCGCCAACTTGGCCGCAGGGAAGCGTTTCCCTGGGTGCCGCCTCTGCACTACCTCACTTTCATTTTTTGGACTGCCTTACTTATTAGCTGCTTTGATTGTTGTGTGCGTACAAGTGACACATGTCATGGATTATTCATTTGTTCAGTGTAGGCTTCCTAATTGAAAGCGATTTTTCAAGAGCATAAGCACAGGCAAAAGTATTTGAAATGAGAAAAAAATCACGTGTGTTCATTAACTTTTGGTGGACTAAGACTTTTTGTGCCTGTTTCCCAATTAAATGAAAATCAAGATCAAGTTATAAATCCTTGAAAGAACGGGGGTTTATAATTGAAATTTCAGCAGATTGCTTGCCAAAAGCAGTGTAAATAGATGATTTTACTTTAGTTGTGCATTTTTGATCGAGTGTCTTTAACAAAAACAGTATGTAGGAGGTTTGCCATAGAAACAATCGTTCTCTTCTAACCCTGAAATACTAAGTCATTTGGGGGCCAGGTTGGGGGACTAGACAGCTTTGGAAAACCCAGAAATAATTATTTATGAAAGAATTTTGACATAAAATAGATTTGAACTAATATGCTGATTTTCTGTTAATATTAATTTCCAGATAGCAAAATAACTCAGTGGGAAGACCCAAGACTGCAGAACCCAGCTATTACCGGCCCGGTCAGTATTCTCAAGTTCTGAATGTTCAGTGTCACATTTTGGTTGCATCAAAACACACATTTCTTATACATTACTGCACACCTGGGTGTAACTGAGTAGTTTACCGTTCCTCTCATCTCCTCCTCACAAGAATTTCTGGGTGAGGTACTTCTGGGGAAGGTACGGGTGCATTTACCTTTTCATGGGGCTTTCATTATAAAGGAAAAGAAAATGGTGTGATAATGGTAGCAAAACTTTTCTTTTGTCCATTATGAAAGGGCGGCTTGTAAGGGTAACAAATTGTCCTCTCTTCCTTCTTGTACGAGGCAAAGCCAGCCCTGTATTTGCAGAATTTTGTCATTTCTTTAGGCCAAGGGCAGTTCATGCATGTTAACAAATCTAAGCTGTATTCTGAATCTCTTCCAGCGCTGAAAATCTATAAAAGTTTGGGTGAGGTTGTCGCTAACCTCTGGAGCTGGCAGATACGAATTTCTGTCTCCGCTGACCCACTAACTTTCTCATAGTCCCTTCGTGTATGCCAGGTGGGAAAAGAACGAGTTCTGCATTAGGTATGGCGCTGCCTTCTTAAAATGCTGCCGCACACTGTTCGTAAGGAAGACCGAGAGCCCTGGGACATTCAGTAGTAATGGACACTTGGTATCCGCGCCCTGGGAGGAGTCTGTAGAACCGGGCGCACCTCCTCAGCAGGGAGTGCATCAGCGCCTCCTGCTGGTAATAACAGTGCAAGGAGGTGATTTGGAATTACAGGGAAGGTGCAGGGACCACAGAAGACTGCAAATTTGGGATTCTTTTAAAAACTGGAGGAGCACAAGAAAGTTAAATTTATCATATCATATTGAGAGCTAAGCTAAGAAGCCAATGGGTATATTTAAAGCACTAATTTCGTGGCTTTAATATGAGTCTGTTCAAATTATGTTGTGAATTATAAAGGTAAGTCCATTTGAAAACGTAAATGATACTGTAGTGCAAATGCACCTTGGTACCTGACATCCCTTTAGTTATGTGTTGGGTCTGTTTATTCGATTTGTTCAGCGGGTCTGGTACAGTTTACAAAGTGCCCGGTAATGCCTGGGCTCAAACAGTCCACTACTTTTTCTCTATGTAGCTTAATAAATACCTGCCATCCTACCATGGCTTCTTTTTTTTTTATTCACAATCACAATAAGTTGCTAGAATCGCATTTATCTCTTCTCCATCATGAAAAACAGGTAAATTCAAGAAACGAAGCTGTTTTCAACTGACAGAAGATTTTATGTGATATTTCTCAGTCTTTTTCAAATCATTTATATGGTTTATTGATCATCTACGTTCACTCAAGAATGTAGTCTTATTACTATTGAAAATTGGTTAGCATCATAAATCCAGGTAGATATGCCCCTAAGAGAGATCTCTATTTCTTTGTTTTCTTAAAGAGCTTGGTTTACTCTTTAATATTAGCGCTTTTTCTTTCAGTAAGAGCATGTGTCCTTAGGTAATTATCAACTTAGTGTAGACATCTGGTCTTTGTTGTCATTCAGTTCCAAATATTTGGTAATTTCCATGTGATTTTTTTTCTCCTTGGCTTATAAGTTATTTAGAATGTGCTTTTTAGTTTCTAAGACGATGGGAGAATTTTTGCCTGTTTCTTACTGATTTCTAATTTTATTGCATTGTGGTCAGAGACTATTTAATATGGAATATTGATTATCAGATATTTGAAACTTCTTTGGAGGCTTGGCCATTTTTTGTAAATGTTCTTTCGTGTTTGAAAAGACTGTGTATTCTGTCTTTCTTGGGTATAGAAGTGTTCTTCATATGTATGCCATTAGATCAAGCCTGCGGTGTTTAAGTTATCCATTCCCATTTCCACATTTTTCCTGGCTGTTTTATCTCACCAAGACAGCTCCGTCAGATGCCCCCAGTAACTGGCTTTACCAAGCGTTCCACTCATTCTTCTTCATTAGCACTTGTCTAGGCTGTCCTTTCTGTCTCTTGCTGTGGTGTTTTCTTTCCTACCTTCTATTAGATTGACAGAGTACTCTTTATTTTCTCTCATTTTTTTTTTATACTTGCCTGGAAGTTGTATTTTCTATTTCTATTCTCTTAGTGCTCACATTAAAATTTTTAACCAGCATACTTGACTTAATGTCAAAATTAATCACTCTCTGCTCTCCCCCGGACAATATAGTATTAGGGGACGTTAGTGCCATTCTTCCCACTCCGGTTTTCCATTGTTCCGTGGAATTTTAAAACTACCTTGTCTTTAAATGTCCCAAACCATCATTAATATTTTATCTTTTTTTTTCCAAACAGTCTCAGTGCTCACCTAATTTCACTTAGATGTAAACAGGTTTCTTTGCCCACCACTGACCCTTGCATTTTTTTTCTGGGTTAAGTTTTGTTGTTAATGACATATCACCTCTAGTTCGTAGTTCCCAAAGTATGGCCTACAGATCAAGAGTATCAGTATCACCCAGAAACTTGTCAGAAATGCAGGTTTGGGGCCCCATCCCAGGCCCGCTGAGAACCAGCCCGCTGCGGGGCGGGCCCAGCCACTCACCTTCCCCAGGTGTGCCGGTGTCCGCGCGAGTCGGCGACCCTCTTCCGCAGCAGCAAGGGCCGTGGGAGCCTGAGTGGAGCACTTGCTGAGTCTCAGGGGACTTACTGGACCTCCCTGTGAAACTACAGTTTAGCTGAGTATAGAATTCTTGGTTAACATTTATTTTTCTCAAGTACTTTGGAGATACTCTTTCATGTCTTCTGGTCTCATTAACTGATAATGAGGCGTTTGTTGTTAATCTAATTATCTTTTTTTATGGGTAACTCCTCTTTTCTTTAGTGGTTTTGAATTTTCCTCTGGGTATTTGATGTCCTGCAGTTTTACTCTGTCCTAAGGGTGGATGAATTTTAAAAACTTTATTCTGCTTTGGACTCATTGTGACTCTTCAAGACATTGGGACCATGTCTTTCCTCCAGTCTAGTAAAGTCTCAGCAATTATTTCTTCACATGTTGCATATTTCCCATCCTTTTGAAATACCTGTACCAGTAACTCTTGGGTCATTGATTCACTTTCACAATTATCTTCTGTGTCTCTTAGCTTTCATATTTCCATCTCTCTCTTATTGCCGTATATAGTGGGCTCAGCTCTTTCAGTTAATTTTTTCTTAATCTTTTTATATAATCTATCTTTATCGGTTTATTTTACCTATTATTTCAGTGACTGTTTAATTGCTCAAAGCTCTATTCGCTCTTTTTTAATTTGCTTGATCTTTTAAGCTATTTTTCTGTCCTGTTCTTTCCTTTTTTAAAAATATTTATACTTCCAGCTTTTTAATCATTCTTAAAATAGCCTCTTTTCTGGCCTTTTTCAGATTATTATCTCTGGTCCCAGGGACATACAGTATTTCCACTTGTTATGTCTGTAGATTCTCTTCAGTTGTAGTTTATTGCCTGGTTCAGTTTATAATTTGTGTGTGTGCTCACCTTCATTTTTTTTTCACATGGGGCTTTTGTAAGTTCTGACCTGTATTTACCGTTAACCACTTAGCTTGGGTTCACTCACCCCCACTTAGCATAACCATGGATTTCATACCCACTTTGGTGTAGCCTTGGAGTATGAATTTATCACAGGTCTGTTTCTTTTTCTTTTTCTTCCATTTATGGTCCTGGACAGAAGGTAAGCTTCCTTGCAACTTTCCTGGGCCAGTGGGTAGATTTTTCTTGTCCCTTTTTCAGATGTCAGTTTTGAGCAGGGAACTCTGTTCCGGCTCCCTAAGTCACACAGACCGTTGGCCAAGTTCTGTGTCCCCCACTGGAGGATTAATAGCCAAGCCGAGACGCTTGTGTGTAGGTCCAGCGCCCACTTATTTCTCCATGTTGAGTCCTTCTGCTTATCTGGTACCTAGAGTTCCTCTTTTTCCCCAGTTTTAAAAATATATATTAGGGGAGAGGGGACCCTCTCTGTGTCAGCCCAGCGCAGTGTTACCGTCAGTCAATATGCTGTCTGTGTAACAAATGTCACCATTAAAAGCTTTCGTAAAGTGCTCCTTGTGCTTGCTGCTCTTATGAGTACTATCATGCTGTGTCACACTTTGTACTTTCCCAAGAACTTGATAATCAGCTGCTTGGACACGCTCAGCGATCCCCTCTGGAAGGGAGGGAAGACCTGATTATTCCCAATTTGTCAGAAGGTCAGAAAGCTAATTTTGTTGCCAAAACTTCCTGAGGACTAGAGCCCCAGGGGTGCGCGTAGCCGCGCCAGTGTCCCCACGTCACGCAGGGACCCTTCTGTCCAGAGAGCTCCAGTGTCAGCTGGACAGCTGGAAGGGAAAGCCTTCAGAACCGTCTGGCACAATAAGTCAGGTTTTCATTTAGCTCCAAAGAAAAAGCATGTGTTAGGCAGAGCAAAAGGGCTTTAAACAACAGACGTGTGATTTTTTTAAATAGCTTATTTTACAAGTTAAGTTGTATATAAGAAAACAGAATGCCATATTTTCATGGAAGAGTAAATGAGTTGGCCAAAACAAGAAAGATACACCCATGGTTCTTTTCGGAGGCTGCACCTGTGGAAGTCTCTGTCCTGTTGCGTTGCTGGAATCTTCTCAGGAGGAGAACATACAAACCTCCTCTCCTTCCAGTATAAGAACTACGTCCAGAGAGAAGTACCGAAGGAAGACAAAGATTTTTTCAGCATTCAGGCGCCAGCCCACAGCAGGAGAAAGGCCAGAAATGTCCCAGCATCTCATTCCTACCCACGTCTAGTCAGCGCCTGCCACGTTAGACGGAGACCAGCAGCTGCCACGTTAGACAGCAGACAAGGGAGTCGATGTCACGGGCTGGGGGCAACCTTTTACAGTGTATTCTGTGGGACAGTTTTCATGTAAGACTATTGAACTTCACAAGGATGAATGTTTAAGCCTTTTTTCAACATTTTCAGGGAGGGGGGGAACTTAAACAAAAAGTAATTGCTGGGGATCAAATTTTTGGAAACGGAGGTACCTTAGTTCATCTAGTCAAATCCATCGCGGAGAGGTTGTCCCAGAGCTGGCTGGCAGGAGAGTCTGTTCTGAAAGTCCGCTTTTCTAAGGCTGGCATGGGACAGTCCCGGGGACTACATTTTTTTAGGTTCATTTTCCTCTGTCACAGTTAATCACAGCTAAGAACACCCCCCGAATACGTTGCCTTCTCACGGCTTTGCGCTCACTGTCCCTGTCATGATGTTCTCCCCCCCGTCACCGGTTTCTGCTCAGATGTCCTTTTCTCAGAGCGGCCTGCCTTCCCTTTCCTGATCAGCTCCTATAAAATAGCCTCCAGGAACTTACCTCTTTTTCCTTGTTTACCACTATTTATTCCTTTGCTGCTTCTTACCTGTTGCTCACAATAGCTTGTCAGCTCCGGGAGGGAATAGGGAGAGAACTCTTAGGTTAATGTGCCATTATCTCCCCAGCACCGCAAATGCCTGGCACAGAGGAGCTGCTCAAGAAATAGCCTGTTGAAAAAATTGGCAAATGCATCACCAAAGAATGAATAAATAAACTAGATAGAAAATCTTAGTTCGTTATGGGATAGAGTGATAGTTGGGAAAGAAGCATGTTAATATCCTTATTGGCTTAAGTCAGAATAGTGTATCTTTTCCTTATACTGGTGCTTGTCCAGATACTGACAAAATTTCTACTTTTCTAGAATAAGAATTCATACATGATTTCATCAGACTAAACACTGTCCAGAATAAATATGATATGTGGGCAAATCCAGTGTTCAGTGGAACAGCAAATAAAGAGTGGATTGAAAATGAAGGCAAGACCATAAGTAGTATAAATTGTCCTTACTATGTAAATACCATGTCTTTTTTGCTCTTGAATTACAAAGTGAAACACTGACATGATCGTTGTTCGCTATAAGAGTGGTTGTTTTTGTTTTGGCTTAGTTATTTGTGTGATTGTCTCAAAAGCAGTATGAAGAAGGGAGGCTTATGTTTTTCATTTCTCCTTTTTCAAGTTAGGAATAAGCAAGGTGAAGGTATAAGGTTTGGAGTCCGGAGACACTGTACTAAGGACCAGTATATTTTATAAAGTTAGCCCAAAAAGACATCAGCAGAACTGTTCTGGCCTGAATGCACACTATTTGCCAAACAGCAATGAGTCATTCTGAGTATGAAGCTGCCACAGTTATATCCATGTGTTTGCAAAAGCCAGTCCCTCCTGCTTCATAAAATATATATCTATGTATGCCTTTTCACTAGCTTGGAGTCAGGGCTCTGGCTATGGTAAGCTACATTGTAACATAGCAAGTAGAGAATATTTAAATGACTATATTAAAATGTTATTACTTTGCCTAAAGAGACTCCAGAACTTTCGAGGAATGATGGTTAGCTCAGTTACAGAGCCACCCCTGCGGTGCTACCGCTCTGCCTTGGAGGTGAGGCATTTAAGACCAAGAGAAACCCTTGCCCAAGGCTGCTTGCCAAGTAGGAAGGGGCAAACCTGACTCGCCAATGGGAGACTTTTCCAGAGTGCCGTCTACCTGGTCGTACAGTCCTTGATAAGAGTATCGGTTCAGGTGCCTCTCTCTGCTCATTATACTTTCTCTCAAAGACTTTTAAAAGCATGATTAGTGTTTTTCAGAATGACAGGATGGGTCACTTTGGGATTGTATTTAAAGTATCATAACCAATACCTCGTATCTCAATGACAGCGAAAAAAAAAAATTACACCCTGACTCATATTCAGGCAAAAGTCGTATTGGAAAGTGTATTTTATGTAGCATATCCCTAAATGACTTCTTGAGTAGCAATATAGTTGTTTTCAGGGGTGAAAGTCCTATTCAGTGCTGATTTGCATTAATCATTTCTAGAACTTTTCCATGTGCTGTGCAAAATGTACATTTCAATATAATATGGAGAATGAGAATTTTAACGTTTATGATTCATGAAATTCTCTAATTGTTGACTCAGTTTACATAAAATTTTAAGCATACTGTATACATTGTTTATATTTGTACATTTATCTTCTAGGCGGTTCCTTACTCCAGAGAATTTAAGCAGAAATATGACTACTTTAGGAAGAAATTAAAGAAACCTGTGAGTAACATGCTTCCAAAACTGCTGTTTCAGTCCTTTGTAAGATACCAAAGTCACTTCAGTAAGAACAACTTGTTCGCTGCTTTTCTGTGTGTACTAAAAAGATTACTTTGCTTTTTTCACTCCACTTTGATCCACCTGCATCTGCAATCTGAATTTTCTTTTTAACAGAAACGGTAAGTGAAGATGAACTAATATTACATATCAAATCACCTGAAGGGTAATTTCCTATGTAATAACATAAAAAGGTAGAAAGGATTTTATGGGCAGTAAAATAATCCAGGACCTAGTCAAAAAAATTCGGAGAAGCCTATGCGATTGCTTATGGTTCTATTTAATAAAACCTAGGGCCTAGTTAGCAAAGTGGTCAAGTCCTTCCCTTTAAATTCAGAAGTGTAATTTTAATTGTAATATCGATAACAATATAATTTGTAATATCATAACACAGGGTCCGGCACAAATAACACCCCTGTCTTATTACAAAATCTTTTATTACAAAATCATAAGCATGTAATTCTGTAATACAACAATATCACACTCAAACATACCACGTGACATTTTAGGTGAAATGTTCAAATTAAAACTATAAATTATTACATTTATATTATTACCCTACCAACCACACTCAAGCAGGTGTTGCTTCTGCCAGACCCTGTATTTGGCATATTAAGACCAAGTATAATTTTCAGATGGAAATTCTCACTGGGAAACCCTACAAGATTTCCACAAATCTGAGAAACACGGTAACATTTTTCAGGCAGTTTTAAATTAATCATACTTTCTACTGACTCATCAGCCCAAATTTGACAACATTATGCCTTCGGTTTTCCTTTGTGACTTCATGTCTCTGATACAGGTTTTATCGGTTTCCTCCTCAGTTTGCACATTCACTGTGTGTTTTGGCCGTGGGGGTGTTTTGTCTTGTTGGTGGTTTCCCACTGAGGGAGGAAGAGCGTCCAGTCCTCGTCCTCCCACCCCACTCAGGTCTCCCCGGTCTCCTGTGCTTTCTCTGGCTCTGTTCCCTCAGTCAGGGTTCTCTTCTCTCTCCCAACAACCTGATTCTCATAGCCCTTGAATAACCCTTTTGAAATGACTCACATTTGAACACATACTATCCCCGCAAAGGGGCTTCGTGCACCCCCTGCGTCACCCCCAGGAGTAAGAGATGACTTTGTGAACGTCACCCTCTGTCACTCTGTATGGCACTTTCCCTCACTGACTCTGCAAATCCATTTTCGCAGCAAGGCTGCCCGTCCCTCATTTTTCCAGGAAGCAGTTACAGCTTGTCAAGTACTTCTTTATTTTCCTATTTATTCCCTGTGGCCTTTGGGATGCTTTCCCACCACTGGGCATGATAATCAGGGCCCCTTCCCCAGGGCAGCAGAACCGGCCTGTAGGCGTCGTGGACCAGCTGGACCCGCCACCACCGTTGTGAACACGCCCATCCTGGCCCACTGGGGATGGTCGGGGGTTTGGAGGACCTGGACTAAAGTCACTTTCTTTGACAGAAACAGTATATAGAGTTGACCGTATTTCAGTTGCCAGGGGTGGATCAAGCTCCCCACGGTTATTTATAAAAGGGGGATAGGATGACCGTGTCCTGCGCAGCCGAGTTCCTTCCGCAGCACGTGCCGCGGGCTCCGCCTGACCGCTGCTGGCGGCTGCTCTGTGGGCCTCCGCGCGAGGGCGAGCCTGTCTGTGTGCGCAAAGAAAATCCACAAAGGCGGGAGGCTCGCTGCTTGTGCGTTGGAAGACCGCCATCCTTTCTGTTCTCAGAAGGAAGGTATATTTACTGTATGATTGTGTGCCTTTTTTGTTCCTTTTTTTGCAGGCTGATATTCCAAATAGGTTTGAAATGAAACTTCACAGAAATAACATTTTTGAAGAGTCCTATCGGAGAATCATGTCTGTGAAAAGGCCGGATGTCCTAAAAGCTAGACTGTGGATTGAGTTTGAATCAGAGAAAGGCCTCGACTATGGGGGCGTGGCCAGAGAATGGTTTTTCTTGCTGTCCAAAGAGATGTTCAACCCCTACTATGGTCTCTTCGAGTACTCTGCCACGTAAGTGTGGGGAGTGAACTCAGAATGTGTCCCCACGGAAACGGTTTCATTCTTAATAGTTCCAACTTAATGACAGATTAAGCGGCTCGCTCTTTTGAAATGAATGAACATGGCTGATTTCAATCCCCACCTCCCACACCCAACACACGCTCCACCCCTTGTGAGCCTAGAACAGGTTCTGCCTATTCCCGGTGAAATAATGTACGCTGCCAACAGCTAAAAATGATTTTTTTTCTTGTCTGTTAGGTTCTTGTAATTAAAATAAAAAATGTGCTGGGTACTTATGGTAAGGAACAGGAAGCAATTGTCATTCGTAATGTTATGTTAATTCAGGAGAATTTGTCAATGTCAGAATTCTGAAAGTCATCCCCCTCTCATAGACAAAAATAGTTTCTCAAGTTACTTTAAAGGCAACTTCTGATGCACTTTGAGGAGGGCCCATTTTGCTGGACCTTCAGGGAAGAACCAGACCCCCCCCCCCATCCCTGCCCCACCCTGGGCTCTGGGATCTCATTGTTGCTGAGCAAGGAAACTAAGACAGGTTCCAGTGCTTTCTCAGGAATCCAGCATTGGGTGCTCACAAGGCCAACCATTCCTGCTCCGTGCTGTGGACCCGCATACCACGTAGAATAGTTGTGGACCTTGCTGGAAGGCACCCTCAGGATCCTGCCCGGGCGCTCCAGCCAAGAATCGCCTGGCTTGTTTGTTGTTGTGTGTTGTTGTCCCAGAAGAAAGCATGCAGTGTAAAACTGATCAGAACCATGAAAGAGGCAGGCAGGGTAGGGGGGCAGGATCCTCAGCTCTCACCTGCATTCCCAAAGGTCCCCTGAGAGGGTCGGTCTGTAGAGCCCAACTTGGAAACCACGGATCCTCATGATGTTGGGACCAAAGACGGACGGGGGAGCATTTTTGTCGTTTGCACTGATAAGGCAGCGGTGGGCTGTCACCGGCGCCCTTGGGGCCTGGCAGGGCGCGGCGGCAGTCAGACCAAATGTTGGGCCCACAAGGAAAATCTTGATCTCCAAACGAACAGCCTCTCCCTCAGAGAACCTAAAGCCCTCATTGCCAGTTCATTCTTTCACAGCCCCTTTGTTACGTGATCAATCGCATCTTCCCAAGGTATTCGGCTGGAGCCTGTGAGACTGGCACTTTTGCAGATCAAAAATAGTCAACTAGAAACCCTTTCTTACAGTTTAACTTACAAAGGGCATAGGCACCGGCTCCATAGGACCTCAGTCCTGGTGACAGACAGAGGCTAAGTAAACGAGTCGCATCCTGTAGCTTTTCCCCATCAGGGGCAGAAAGCCTGGTAAAAGGCATTGGCACCATGAAAGCAAATGACGGGGCAGGGGAAAAGGCAAACGCGTGCATTTCTTCTTTAAAAACATGAGCTTTTTCTCTCTTTTCCTTCCCCAAGGGACAACTACACACTGCAGATCAATCCCAATTCAGGCCTCTGTAATGAAGACCATTTGTCCTATTTCACTTTTATTGGAAGAGTTGCTGGTCTGGCAGTATTTCACGGGAAACTTTTAGATGGTAAGTTATGAAAAAGCCTTGAAGTCATACAAACAGGACAGGGCAATTTGTGATTCCTTAAGAGGTGTCTTATCTTTCACGTTATAGATGACCAGCAAAAGCAACACTGGTTCTGTGTCATTCTGTGAATTACTGTTACATTTTGCCCGTAATGGAGGCGCTTTTCCCAGCTGTCAATTTGAGCACTGAAAACACAGTGTAAAATTTCCTTACAAAAGAAGCTAGTATGAGGCACAGAACATTCTGTGATGGTGTATTTTCTGCTTTTAAGAATAACTTTTTTTTTTTTTTTTTTTTTTTTTTTAGCAAGAGCTAGATTTGGTGACAGATGGAAACACTAATTGAAAAGTTAATCAGAATAATCTGATTCCTCCAACATCCTGCCATTGTTTCATTTGTCTCCAAATGATTGTTTTTGTTTGAGTGCAAAGAGACTGCAGATGATTGCAGAGCAATGGAGTAAACTCGGCCTCGGCCTTGCCCTGGGACCGCGGCTACGCAGATGGCGCAGGCTGACCGCGTTCCTATGCAGAGCTTTAGGCCACGGGCGCTCCTCAGGGCGCCCTGGGAGTTAGACGTCAGACTCCCCCGCCCCCCAGCTGTATGGGTAGACTTAGGTGGGGACTTCTCATAGATTTGGTCCTTTCAACAGTACTGCCCTTGAGGGAAATCATCATTGAGGAAGGAGAATCGGAAATATTTTTAAAGGATTTAGGGGTGAAATGGTTGAGGATGAAAGACAGTGAGATTTGAGGTTGACCTTGCAGTTTCGGTAGAGAGAGAGTGCGTCTGTGGAACCTTAGCGAGTCCAGTAAATAATCGATGCACCCTCCCTACTTTATCCTTCAATATGTTTTTACTGTTACTCATGATCCTCTGATTTCAATGTTTTATTTTTAGCTGGGGAAAGAAGCACTTTTTTTCATTAGAAAGAAACTACATTCACTCTTTCTATATACGTATGTCGTATGAATGTATTTTCATTTGCTATATTGAAGTCACACCATAGATTATTTCAGCTGTTCAGATTCACTTCAGCCTTTTCCTAAGTCAGTCTATATACCTGCTGCCAAGTGAAAAGACATTCTTAGTGTCTGTGGGGAAATACAGAGAAATGCCAGATCTGACCCTCACCTCTATGAACTTACAATTCTAGCGGGGAAACAAAATGCAGGAGACTCACAGTGATGGGGTCCAGCGGAAGGGGGTACAGAGAGTGCTCCGAGGAGACCCTGATTTGGCTGGAGGGTCAGGGACACTTTCAGGATTAGGCACACCTTGCCAGCGGCATGGGATCTGAGCATTTAGAAGCTGGGGCCGTTTCAGGAGAGCAAGGGCTGGCTGAGTCAAGGCTTGTTGGGGGCGTCATGGAGAAAAGCAGGAACAAACAGGGGAGCCCAGGAGACAACTGCAGAAGGTGGTTACCAGCGCGTGCCAGGAATTGTGGAGTTGAGAGCCGGAACGCACACAGGTGCGTGTGGTCAGCGGCGTCTTTGTTTCTCAAAAGCTCAACCACACATCCCTGTGTCAGCTTCGTCCTCTGCCTCCCCGACACCAAAGGTGTTTGAGTCTGAGCCTTGGGGCCACCTGAGCCAGTGCAAATGGGAATCCGCTGCGGAGGGTTGGTGACTGATCAGATGGGGGTGGGGCCCCCATAATTGGAGGCGCGTGGTGCTGACCTGCCAGTGGACAAAGTGGATGGGGGGCCCTGTGTGGCGGGTGCCCGTCCTCACTGCCACCGCCTCACTAAGGGCTCAATCAGTTCTCCCTGGGAGGATGGCACAGCCTTCTCAGTGGTCTCCCTCATGTCCTTGTCCCTTTCCTGCTTTTTCTTGCCCTTCCTGCCCTAGCACGACACTGAAACACAGGTGGAATTTCCACCTGGCCTTTCAGTGACTCCCCATTGCCCTTCAAGGGGGCAGCCCACGCTCTCCTGCACCCCACGCAAGCCCCGCGCTCCCCAGTCCCTCCTCGGGCCTGTCCGCCCCAGGTTCCCTGTGCTGCCACCCTGCAACCACTGGCGAGTCCCGCTCTTGTCCCTCTGCCTGGAGTGCTCTTTGTCCCCTATTCCTGTGCCTTGTTCGCACTGCAAAATCCTGCGGGGCCTTGAGGCCTGTTTGTCACCCCCAGGAGCCTTTTTGACCTCTATACCACCTCTGTTAGAATGACTGCCCTCCTTACTAACTGTCCCCCACGCCCGCCCCCAAAAAAAAACAGGCAGGCCCTCCTCTGCTTGGTCACAGATTACCATCAAAGGTCTTCGATCTGTCCTGGTCTCTCATGCAAATTGAAAGCCGGTTTGTCTTCTGTTTCGTTTCTGATGCACAGTAGTATGAACGATTTGAAACTCATCCGGTTTCCATTGTATTTTAGGATTCTTCATTAGACCGTTTTACAAAATGATGCTGGGAAAGCAGATAACCCTGAATGACATGGAGTCCGTGGTGAGTGAACGCGGACCCTCCCCCGGGCGTCGTCGGGGCCCCTCACGCCTGACAGAAAAGCAGCTGCGGCCGAGGTGCAGTCACAGCCATTTTTATGGGTGTCGCCCTTCAGTGTGAATAACAGGGAACATTTAACTGTTCGAGAATTTCATTGATCTCCTTAATCTTCCGAATAAGCAAATCACGGCTCATGGTAACTGGAAGCATGATTCTTGGGTTGGACACACCTGCCTCTCGGTTACCTCTGCTTCCCCAGGGGTAGTGTGACCAAATGAAACCCCAGGGTCCCCTGGAGACCCCATCGCAGCCCTTGTTTTCCACTGAAAACCGCTAATACTGTATGTGTGGCAGTCCATCAGCTATTCCTCTGTTTTCTGGCTCAGAAAATGGCAAGGGCCAAAACGCTAAAGGGAAGAGTGTGTACGTGGAACGGTGTGTGGCCTCTGCGTAGGGGGAGGAGTAAAACAAGTTAGAGGGTGCAAACTCCTGTGCCAAGTGACTGGGGTTCCCCTGCTGCGTTTGACTCATCTTACGTAGGCTGACCATTTTAGAGCTGAAAGGATTTTCTGTAGAAACAAAAATTGATGTGCTTCACAATCTACTTTTTGCTTCTATTTTTCTTTTCATTTACCTGCCCCCGCCCCCCACTGCCGGCCCCCGAGCGTGGGGGTGATTGCCTGAGCCCCAGCGCACTCGCGCAGGGCCGTCGAGAAGCAGCGTAGTCCCCTGCGGTGCTTGCAGCTCCGCTCTCAGGTCCTGTCACTGGAGTCAGGAAGCCCCCCGCCTTGCTGTGATGTTGCCTGTGTCTCGTGTGGTGGGTCTGTGAGCCCGTATTCTCGTTACTGGCCATCACGGATCGCCGCTTCTGCACCGCACCTGTGTGTGAAAGGCGAGGAGGGTGCGGGCGGTGACCTGGAACCCCCTCACTGGCTTCTCCGGGGGAGGGCTGGTAGGCTCAGCCGCAGGACCAGTCTCAAATTTCTTTCCAGCTTGCTCCTTCGCCTTGTGCTTTAGATTTGATTGTGGTATAATGAGGAAGCGACGGCTACAGACATGTCTCTTAAAGTCTCAGTTAATTCCGTACCACAGGCTGACGGAAGAGACACACATTCTGTTTGTCCTCAGAGCCTCGTGTGCCAGCACTGGCGTCCCCAAGAGAGGCCAGGCCCTTTCCCTTGTGCTTGTGTCCTCGGTCCTTCTGTTTGCTTACACTGACTTACAGAGAACAGTAAAGCCCAGGAAGAGGCAGAACTGAAAGCCATTGATATTTAATTAGTTAAGACGATCTCCATTCTTCCTATTGTCCTTTGATAGTCTCCCTCTTAAAAGATAGAAACTATATTAGTCTTCCATGCTCAGTTGTGGAACTTGATGCTGGCCATGCAGCACTAGTTGCTTTCTCTACACTTCACACAGAACAGAATTCAACAACAACCCCCTGTTGCAAATAAAACTTGTATTTGGCTTGCCTTTTAAACAAAATGGGTCAACTAGGTTTGGGAAGGAATGGAAAACGTTGTATTAGTACCTAATGTAATTGTTGTGCAATATAAATGGAATTATGTTAGGAGGACTTAATAATTTAAAGTCAAACAAGTTTGTATTTTAAAAAGGAAAAGCTCTGTTTTAATGTCCGTGTCATTTCTGTAGGACAGTGAATATTACAACTCCTTGAAGTGGATCCTAGAGAATGACCCCACTGAACTGGACCTCATGTTCTGCATTGACGAAGAAAACTTCGGACAGGTAGGTCTGGGCAGCGCCGAGAGCTCCTCTCTAACTTCCAGGGCGTCTTTGCTTGTGCACAGGTTGTAACAACTTTTCTGGACCATTAAAAACCACCACCAGGAGCTTCCGGTGTTAATCAACATCCCATTGTATCAGCACCTTGTTCTTATACTAGAAACCAAAGCCCTAATTCCAGCAAAGTCCCAGAAATCCTAAGGCGTGAACTGGCACCTGCTTCTAACCTAAAGCAAACCTGCACGTAAATGTTTGTGCCATGGTTGTAGAATGCAGGTACTTCCAGAAATAGTGTGTTTCCTTAATGATGTAAATACACGCGCAGAAGGAGGTGACGTTGCGGGGACCTTGGGTGTTTTTCTCTGGGTGATGGTTCCGTTGCCATGATGGAATTTGTCTCCTGGGCCTCGGCAGGCTCAGGTTTCTCTACCTCCCTTCCTGCTTCATGCCAGATACTGTCGTTAAGGTTGGATTAGTCAGAAAGCTCAAGGTCAAAGATAAAGTCAGCCGCTTGGAATTTTCATCATCACCCACAAGCTCTGTAGGACAGGTTTACTTAAACCTGAAACCTCTGATTCGTTTGTGGTAACCAGTGATACTGATGCTTCTGGGGAGGTCTTCTCAAGGGCTGCCCAGCCCTGGTCCCTGTCCTCCCACGAAAGCCCAGAGACACTTCCCGTCTCCATGGCCAGGTCAACATGGCCCTGAAATTAAGGAGATCACGGAGCCGATAGTAAAGATTGCCTTATGGAAAAAGAAATAGATTGGTTCCTTTTGCTTCAAAGATTATTTGACGTTTACTCCGCTGTTAGGAAATATGTTGAGGGGCTCTGTTGCGTCCCGATGCTGCGCTCGGTGTTACAGGTGAAGGTGGGAAATCAGGCCGCTGCCCTCCTGGGTTCACAGTCATAGAGAAAAGAAGCTGATGCGGCTAGATACAAAGGAATTCCTAACAACCGGGGGCGAAAATCGTTGCGCAAGAAAATGATGGCATAGATACGGCAACCACTTGTTCATATGCTTGAGCCAGGAAACCATCACTGGTGGGAGTCCTTGGAGTGGGCAGGACGCGGGGAATCTGTTTTCCTGCCGGATTGGTTGGGTGAGATTCATAGAATGTCAGGCACCAGAGATGAGAGGCACCTTATGACTTCGTGTAAAGATCAGAGTCCATTAAAAATCTTATTAGGCCCCCAACTTTTTGTTCTATATTGTGCTTCATGCCTAAAAATCTCCACAAATGGATACTGCTGGCCTCTGTGGGCATCTTGTCTTGGGGTGCAGGGAAGGAAATCTTTTCTGCAGCCCCCGGCCCCCACCCCGAAGCTGTCCCCTCCGGTTACCAGTGGCCTCCTCAGGACTAAGCATGGGGACTCTCTTCCAGCTCCTCCGTCGCTGCATGCAATGCTAGCTGCTCCCTGTCCCCTCGAAATGCCTGTGGTCACAGCGCCTTCACCCTTCACTCCTTCTTCCCCAGCTCTCGCCACTTTATTTTCCGTCCCCTTAACGGACACGCTGCTTCCGCTGGCCCCACGTTGCAGCCGTCCCTTCGCCAGCCGGTGGCCTTGCGCACCCGGGGCCCCAACCGCATCCATCTTTGTGCTGCTCACCAGCAGCCTCCTCCCCAGGCCACGCCTTTCTCCCAGTCTCCAAACTCCCCCGGCCTGACCCCGCCTGAGCCCTCTGTTCCCCTGAAAGCCCCCAGGTCCTGAGCGAAACCAGTCCCCGCTCCCACCCCACGCCCACTCTGGTCTGATCTGCGGTACCACCGCCCCCTCCATGCTCCATCTTCCCTCCTCCTCATGACGTCCACGCTTCCGTGTCCGGCTGTCACACCTCCTGTTGACTCAGTCTCCTCCTGGGACCTGTCCGCCCCAGGCACTGCGGGCGGGCTCCTTGGTTCCTGTGCCCCGCCCCCCACCTCCAGTCCCTCCTCTGACGCCCCCGCCTGTGTGCTCTGTATGCGATAGTTCTGAAAAGCGAACGGGAACATGTCGTTCTTCTGCTTAAACAGAAGTTCCTCTCTGGCCATGCCGTGACCTTCAGTGTGGGTCAAACCGGCGTCGCGTGGCTCAGGACCCAGCGCTGCCCACCCTTAGCTTAGCTTTTAGATACGTCCTTCCTCTCACCTTGGCAGCCACCGTGCGCCTGCACCAGTGTCCCCACAGATGCTTCTGTGCCTTGTCACTGGCTGTGCCGCACCACCCCCTGCCTGCACATTGCCATTCTCTCTCCTACAGCCCGGTCATGCTGTCCTCTAACTCTCGCTGACTCCCTGTTTCCTGGGAGGCCCTGGAGGCCCTGTGGGCCTCGCCAGCACTCAGCAAGTGGCTGGTGCCTGCTGAGTGTGCTGAGCAAATGATGGGATGGTTTCACCTCGCTCTTCTTAAATGCTAACGTCGTAAGCAGTGGAAGCTCCAAGTGTGAGAAGACAGTTTGAATTGCAGTGACCTACTGTCTTAAGCTGGACCTAGTTAAGGGTCTTACCTGCCAACTTGCAAACTGATAACCATCCTGAACCCGCATCTTTCTTTCAATTTTAACACATGGAGGGAGGAGTAGAAAGAAAGAACCGAGGAAGACCAACAATCCTGTAAGTCAAGTGCAAAAAGAGGGTGTGGGAAGTCTCTTTGTCCACTTACAGAAAGCCAGGTAGCCAACTGAACAGTTCACAAGACATTAGCAACCCCAAAGGCAGGGCAGATGATCTGGGAAACCTTCCTTAGTTACAGTTAAACGGGACTATTTCCACCCAATAAATGAAGAACAAACAGGAGATATTTGGGCCTTTAAGTAGACTTCTAGCAAAGATTCTGATTATCGGTACAGTGTATGCTAATGATTCATTAACACCTCTTCATTTAATGCTGTAGATGCTCCTGACCTCCGGGTTGAGCCAGGTGGAGGGACGCAGTGATCAGAACAGGGCCACGAGAGGAGTAAGCCAACGACCAGGTGCCCGGTTCGCTCAGTTGCCGCCTTCCCCTTTTAGGGAGCTAACCCAATGAACAGGGAGCTAATGTATCTATTTTGCATTTTAGGAAGAAATTTAGAGTGAATTAAGCAGCCACACATACTGATCACAGCTCCCATATCCAATCTGTCACCAGCCCTGTTCCTTTGAGCTCCCCGATATTTCTCAAATCTGTCTTTCCTCCCTGTCTGTTCCGCCAGCGACACCCCAGCCTGAGCTGCCAGCCCCTCTCACAGACGCCCAGCCGGTCTCTTAATGCCCACCCTGGCCTCCCCTAGCGGCAGCATGGCCTCTGCCGGGTGGAGGAAGGGTCATGACGTTCCTCTGCCAGGAACAGTCACAGACCCCCCTGCCCTGGATATAAAGACCCATATCCTTCGTCTGCCCCGTGGTATCCTGCGTGGCCTGACCCCCCATGCTCCCTGTGTCTGGTCTCAAGCGCCTTCTTGCCTCAGGACCTTTGCTCGTTGCTGCTCCTTGTGTCGGGAACGTGCTTCCTCCACCTCAGTTCAGACCCCAGACCACAGTACTTCAGAGTGCCTTGCACATCCTTGCAGCATGTGCCATGGGTGACTTAGCATATATTTGTAAGAGTGTGTGTTTAGCATCTGCCTCTCGCTCACCACTCTGCACACGCCACCTGGCACAGTGCCTGGTACGGGGCAGGCGCTCAAAGCAGAGTTGTTGAACCAAAAATGTGGGCATCAGAGAGACACCTGGGCCCGCCTCTCACCTCCCCCAGCCCTCAGCAGAACTGTCAACTGCACGTTGCAGCACATCCTAACCCAAAAGGAAGCCCGTATCTCTCTTGTGCCGAACGATAAAGCCGTCTCTTCAGTGAAGTTAGCAAAGATGTGAAGTGTCTGTGTTCTTGGCCTTCCTCGGTGTCTTCTTTGGGGTGGTTTTTTTTTTTCACTCCGCAGTTTTGTAATGTCAGATCATGAAGGGGCAGGAGCTGAAACTTCAGTCCCCTTCATGGACTGAAACTGCAGCTGTTGCCATGATTTTGCGATTCCTTTCTGGCTGATGAGAACCTGGAGCTTCTGGTTCCTGGGACCTCCAAGGAGAGTGTTAAATGAGTTGAACAGCCGTCCTATGCCAAGCAGAAGGAATGGGCGGAACCGTGCCCCCATGTACTTGTGGACCCCCACCCATCCACTGACCAGGAAGAGGCCCCTTTTAGAACTAGAATAAGTGGAAATCCTTGTTGCGAGTTTGGCGAAGCAGCACCAGAGTTGGTTGCTTTGGAGAGGCACGGGGGGTGGGGGGAGGCGGGCATTTAAGAAGCTGTGCGGCGGGCAGGGGCGGGAAAGGGCGGCAGCCGCATGGGGAAAGCCTGCGGGGCCGGGCCCGCATTAGGCCAAGGCGCACACCCTCCACTGGGGTGCCATCGCCCCGAGGGGACAGAAATGTCTCAGCCATTGCAGTGCCAGAGCATAGAGCGTAGGTGGGCCATGGAGCTGTCTATTAAGTTTTCATGGGAGAAGGGGCAATCGAGGGGGGAGTCTAAAAAAGCTCTTTAGGGGCATGAATGAGAAAAAGCTGAGAAACACTGGGTTGGGAAGGGGAATGAGTGGAAAAACAAAACCTGGAAATCCAAGGAGGGAGAGAGGGGCAGAGCGAGGTCTCGGCGGAAGCTGTGAAGAACCAGCCTCACAGCCTCATCAGGAGGTTCAGAGGCCAGGTCAGGGAACCCGGGAGGCTGAGGAAGGACCCTTGCTCCCCAGGGTTCCGGCAGCACCAAGAACGGGGAGGAGAGCCACACCTCACTCTGCCCGAGTCCATCCAGTGGACTCAATATGACCCAGGGTCTCAGCAGACTCCTCAGACCTGTGTCCCAAGGCATCTTTGAATGACCTGTGCATGTGAATCCTCATAGAGCCGGCTGTGCATAGAAAAAGGCTGAAAGGAGTCCCACCATTATACCGATGTGATTTCTTTGTGTAGGAGAGCAGTGAGTGGGGGTTTGTTTCCCCCCCCTGCAAAGTTTCTATGAGAATAAACATTTTGTTTGTAAAACCACTGGCCTCACCATCCCTCCCCCTCTGCTGGTCACTTCTTGACATGCACGGGCACAAAGCCACGCAGGCCCAGAGCACAGGAGGAGGCCACGCCTTGGTCTCCGCAGCTTTGCTCTTTGAGATCAGGTACATCCTCCTCTTTAGCCTGTGTCTTAAGCTTCTTTGTTTAAGTCCCCATGTTTTTGCCTCTTTGAAAGAAATCCCACACATCTTTTTTTTTACTATAAAATCCAATTTTCAGAAAAAAATAAATTACATTGGGATTTGGATCTCTATAGTCTCAGTGGACGTACCCTCTCTTTTCTGTTAACATAATTAATTTCTTGACAAATGAATTGCAGAAGAAAAATATTGCTCTTCTCCATTGTCGCCAATATATGAAAAATAATTAAAACTCATAAATAACCATAAAATAATTTGCCTTTAATGATGACATCTTTAAATGTATAACATCTTAACAATTTAAAAACCTCATTAGACATCCTCTTGCACATAAAACCTGTTTGCTGGGAAATACTGCTGAATAAATTATACTTTTATGGTAAGGCATCATTACTCAGCAATAATATGCAGAATAACTTCATAATGGTGACTGTTGTTTTATTTTTGTAATTACAGACATATCAAGTGGATCTGAAGCCCAACGGGTCTGAAATCATGGTTACAAATGAAAACAAAAGAGAATATATTGAGTACGTATATGCCCTTACAACATTTTATCAAATCGCACAGCGTATTAGGCTGCCTTTTAAGAACAGTTCGTGCATATTATGGATGTGCTTTCAACAGTACGAGTTCCTCTCTGACGTGGGCTAGCGGGAGGTTGAGTTATGGAGCGGGAAGTTTGACTTGGACCATGACTTCAGTGAGCGGCCATGTCACGGGACCAGTGGAAGGAGAAGGGTGGACTTTGCCGAGCACTGTGACAAAACCCTTCTGGAGCAGGTGGCTGGCTAGTCTCTAGTTGTGAATGGCAACAACCAGTGGGGTAAAATTAGGAACAACCAAAGAGAAATATTTCGTCTCTCTCCTGACGTCTTTTCCATAATGAAAATGTAGGGAAATAGTAAAAATGGGTAGGAATATGCGGCACATGCAAACGTAATAAATTGTTTCTGATGTTTGTCATTATCTTACCCCAATCTCAGCCGCGGCTGGCGGAACACAATGTTGAGCTCTTTGGAAGTGGAAATGCTAAGTAACCATGGGGCATTTACATGAGGCAGAAGGTCTTTCTCTGCCGGGCATGGTACAGTTTCCTCTTTCGTACACATGTGTGCTTCAAGCACACAATTCTGGGATCTTCCCAGGATTGCCAGGTGGCCCTCACTAGCCCTGGAGCGGGGGCCAGGACAGGGCAGCCAAGCCTGGTCCCCAGGCCCTAGTTTCTGCTCGTCTTGCGGGTTCCAGCCTCAGCCTGAGCACCTGGTTTGCCTTCTATTCTCCTTCTCAACAAGCTGGGCCTCCCACTCTTGGTCATACTTGGTCAACATACTTGGTCAATTTGGGGAATTGGCCCAGGGTCTTGGCGTCTTTTAGCGTAATCTGCAAAGAAAAACCTCGGAATGTTAGCGTCTCTCCTTAGAAAGCCTGAAAAAGCAGGGACCGATACATAGTGGGCTCCTTCTCCACAAGGTAAAAGCTAGCCAAGCTTAATAAAATAGCTAGAAGGAAGATACTACGCTTCTTTCCTGTTCACATTAAGTGGCACGCTTGTTCTGAACTTGGACAATCTCAGCAAGCAGACAACACCCTGGCAGACACCCAGTGTCTTCGTTCAGAAAGTACAGACTTTGACTAGAGGTTAAAACACTCCACCCACCTGACCAGGGTCGAATATATGAGGATTCAGACATCGGGCTGTGTGTTGTGCATCATTCCTTACAGTGAACTCTTTGAGGTTTCAGATTCAGTGGGTATAGGTTTGGGCAGAGCCTCAGCTACCTTCTCTGAGAAGAAGGTGACAGAAACGTCCACCAGCTCCCTGACACGTGCATCCCCCGTGGCAAGCAGAGGGCCATGGTGCTGCCGGCCGCAGCCCAACAGGCCTGGTAGGGCTGAGCGGCGGTGGGAGCAGGCTGGTACTCGAGGCCACGGTTGTGGTGTCACCTCATAGTTGAGAGCCGTGGACAACCAGACAAGGTCCTGGTGCTATTTCACACCAAATGCCTTAGCAGGCCTCTGAAGGTGCTGCGCCTGGCCGTGCATCCGGCTGCCGCTGCACGTTACCACGGGAAAGATGGTGTCAGTGCACTTGTTACATAAAGAGGTCTTCCCATTATGAATCCTCCATAGTGAAGCGTCCGTGTAAATCATTTTGCTGATAAACTATATGTCATTATTGAAAATCAGTACAGGGCACCCTACAGTGAAATATCATTTGATAAGATATGTGTGCCGGCACTCCCTTTAAAAGTGTATGTACGCATGTATACATAGGTGGGTGTGCATATATGTGAGTTTATGTACATGTATTCTACACATATACATATGACCTTTCATACCCCATGACCTTTCATACCCCATGACCTTTCCCCTCTTCTCCATATAGTCACATTTATAAAGCAACTTAGATAAACTGAGCCTCTTGAGGGCGGGGGGACAAATCTAGTATTCCTTTCAAGTCCTCAGCGAGCTTTTAGTTTTTCCCATGTGTTTTAGTTACTCTCGGAAGAATTCATGAGTCAGCAGTGTCTGCTCGGGCCCCGGACCCCCGTGTCCCTTTGCCGTTGTAGGGGCTTCTCTCCCCAGCCCGAGGCCACGCGCTTGAAGCTGTGAGGGAAGAAGTGAGCCCACGTGATGACAAAGGTGCTAAAACGCTGTTCCGTTTTCCCCCGCAGCTTGGTCATCCAGTGGAGGTTTGTGAACAGGGTCCAGAAGCAGATGAACGCCTTCTTGGAGGTAAGTCACGCCCGCCAAGGTGTGGGCCTGCACCGGTAGTCACAGCGGGGGAGAGGGCGGCTTCCCTCCCGAGGCCGGCGACATGGGACAGTCGCCCGCCGAGACACGGGCACGGGGTGGGGGCACGTGCCCAAAGGCCAGGACTGCGCAGCCCACGCTGCTGACCAGCCTCCAGGACAGGAGCAGTGTGCAGCCACCGCACGGCCAGCCTTTCATTTTGTTTGCTTAGAGTTCTTCTCCTTGCTTCTCATACTTCAGCGCCTGATTTTTGAACGTGCTCTCTGGCACGGCTGTGCGGTGTGATTTCAGGACACGCTGGCTCACAGCGCTGCATCTTAAATGAGCTTTGCAATCCGCCTGCCCAGAGTAACCTGTATGTCCTTAGGGCTTGAAAAATTACTCAAATACCTCAACCTTCTAGATTCTACATTTTTTCAAAACTTTCATACTGTGTCTAGACTGTTTTTACTAGAATTACAATTATAGATACTATAAATCATAGTAAAGAATGTATTTTTCTGGGCTAACGAAAAAAAGTTTGTTTTTCCTATAAAATTTGCCTCTTTCAAGAAAAAAGATGTTATGGTGATTGTTTTGTTCTTTGTTTTCTTTCAGGGATTCACAGAACTTCTTCCTATTGATTTGATTAAAATTTTTGATGAAAATGAGCTGGAGGTTTGTATTGTAAACATTTTATGTAAAGTAGATATTTTTTAAGTTTCTCATTACTTCATAAATGACATTTTATTTTCTTAAATTTATTTATTGATTCTTACATAGGAAGAGGGGGAGAGAAAGAGAGACATCTATCTGTTCCACCCTTTTGTGCGTCATTCATTGGTTGATTCTTGTGCCCTGACCAGGGATCAAACCCACAACTCTGGCGTATCGGGACAGCATTCTAACCAACTGAGCTACCCACCCAGGGATAAATAATAATTTCATATTCTTGGATCCATAATGGCCTGGGGAGTCAGCTTAGGTGAATTCTGCTACATGCTCTTAAGGGGCTCGTTTGCCAGTGGAGGAGTAAGGAAATAGCAAAAGTGGTTGTCTGCAGGTTCCTTGCCCCAGAGAGGACAGTTCTGGGGCATGCGGGACAGGTAGCGGCCCACAAGCCGAGTGGGGTTTGAAGCCTGTTGCTCCAGGTGAGGAAAAGTGCTGCTTCTGGTGGAGCCAAGGTGGTAGCACCCTGTTCCCAAGGCCTGACTGCACCCCCTCCACTCACCCACCCCAGCGGCCAAATGCGGATTTGGCCAGGACGTGAGTGCGAGGGTCTGCTGGGGCCGTTGGACAGGTGTCTCCGTGAGCTTGCAGTGGTCTGCAGCAAGGAAAGAGACATCAGAAGGCAACAGGTAGTTAATGTCCAATGGTTTCAGCTGCTTTAGTTGAGGCGGACAAGAATCAGCCATTTAAAAGGCAAAGGACTCTCACACCCTTTCTACACGGACAGGCAGGCTATGTCTGTTCAGAAGCTGTCGATGGGAGTCAGTGAGCCGTTTGTCCAAGCCACAGCCAAAGAGGCATTCCTCACAAACTGGCTTTATGGTCTTTCATCTTAAAACAGAACGTTTAAGTAGATGATGTCGAGAAACTAATGACCTCACCGGTTTTCCCCAGCAAGGTTTTGGCAGTTAGGCCTGGGGATCCTGTTTTCAGGTGGTGTCTGGCTCAGGTCTCTTTCCTTTTTACCTTAGAACGTCATGTTCATTGACCCACAGGAAACCATCCCTGTGGGAGGGGTAGATAATAAGGAAAGCAGCCCTGGGCTAACTGCTAAGGCAGAGAACAGTGACTACATTAGTACAGGTCTGCGTCCACAGTCACTGGACAGATGGGTGATTTTCCCTCCCCTGGGTTAGTTGGTCTGGGGGAATTGAGATCTTGCTGTCATGACACACTAATTCCATGGACGAGAAGGTATTTTCCAATTTTGAGACAAATAGCCTCTCAGAAACGGAAATGGCCAGGGCGATGAGGCAATATAAACGGAGCATAAGAAAATCTGTGAGCTGTGTGCTCAGATTAGAGGGGGAGGGAAGAAAGATGATCCATCTGGAGGTTTTGTTCCCGCTGTGAAATGCTGTATTAGCATTAGGCTTTAGGCTTGGGTCCCCCTTGTTCCCTACACTGTCCCTGTGGTCTGCGGCAACACGTACCCTGCATTTGGGGATGAGTCAGTTGCCAGGTTGCCGCTTTGCCCGGGTCTAAGGAAGGCCAACTTCCGAGTGTGATCTCTTCGGCATTCCCATCGGGCCCCATGTGCACCGGATCTCTTTCCCCTCTAGTTGCTGATGTGCGGCCTCGGTGACGTGGACGTGAATGACTGGAGACAACATACGATCTACAAGAACGGCTACTGCCCAAACCACCCTGTCATTCAGTGGTTCTGGAAGGTGAGGCAGGACCCCCGGGCCCACACCTGCCCCGCTCCCTGGGTCAGGCCTGGGGGCTCTGCTGCCCTCCCCAAGGCCTGGCTTCAGCCGGAAGCTGGGGCTCTGGTGGTACGTGGGCGGCCGGCAGAGGGAGGAGGCGAACTTGAGCTGAAAGCAGCTCTTGTACAACTCCAGGGGACGGCCGTCCTTCCTTAACCACCGGATAAAAGTGGCTCCTGTTTGAGGAGCCTGTGGAGTAGGGATTCTGAAAGGGATACCTGGATTCAAGCACAGGAATGAGTCCTCCAAAGTGTAAATAAGAATCGGGAGGCATCTCGGGGCAAAACCATGCTTAGGGCCTGGCTTTTCCAAGAAGCCATTTTCAGGTAAAAAAGTCATTTTCCCCATTTTGTTGTTGTTAATTCCAACACACATTTTGATCTTTTTTTCTGTGAAAGATGGCTACAAATGAAATTTGATGGGCTAGTTAGGGCCAATGTTTGCATTCTGTTTAGCTTAGGAGAGAAGTCATGTGAGAATGAGTGGGTCCAAGGGAGAGGCAGTAAACTGACCTTAACGGAGCAGTTATGGGGGTGGGGGGCGCGGAGCTGATTGTTTGCTTTACACAGATAAGAAATCATTTCATTTGTTTTAATTTCTAATGTCTATTTTTAATAATATTTCAAGCACCAGCAGAAATAGAGATAAAAAAGAAAGAGGAGAAACTCCAAATTCTAGTCCAAGTCTCACTCAGTTTTGATTTTGGATTTTTTTTTTTTAACAGCAGTTCAAATAACATTATCAGTAAAGCCAATTCAACTCCTGTAATAACTCAGATATGTAAGATACACTGATTATTTTAGAGGCCTCTCCTTGTCTCTGTTTTTCTTTCTTTTTATAAAGTGTTATTTTGTGAGACTCTGTCCCTTCTGAAATCACACCTCATAACCTGGGTTCCTTGATGCAGCCACTTCTCAAACCCTGTATGTGCATAATTGGCTTTCGGGAGAACTGGCGGCCTCACACCCAGAAACTTGAGCCCAGTGCCATCAAAGAGGTTGCTTTTTATATCATTTACTTTAACTTACACAGAGGAAGAGACTGCGATCTCTTGCTCTCTGAGACCCAGAGGCCGATATTGTGGTGGTCATTAAAAAATAAAAATATAAGTGCTGTTTTCTGAGCCAACTGTCTGCATCTTCCGTTTCCGTGTAAGTGAGGTGAGGTTTGCCCGTCTGGTCCCCTCAGTGCGTGGCAGGTGGTACGTGGGAGGGGTGCAGCGACTCTCCCTCTGTTTGCAGGCTGTGCTGCTGATGGACGCGGAGAAGCGTATCCGGTTACTACAGTTTGTCACGGGGACGTCCCGAGTACCTATGAATGGATTTGCTGAACTTTATGGTAAGTAGGATATAGCCCTCTCTCTCTCTCTCTCTCTCTCTCTCTCTCTCTCTCTCTCTCTCTCTCTCGTTCTGTTCTTTAGCCTATCTTTAAAAACTAGATTTTGCAGAATCATTCATGTGGTTATAAACTGAACATTTCAAGGACTCCTCACCTCTAGGAAGCAGAATTCTTCAGTGCTTATATAGATTTTTTTTTTAATCACTCCTTCTACCTTGCATATTAAAGGTCCCGTTGAATTGCCCGCCCCCACCCCCAAAGTAGTTTTTAATTGAAATTCCCAAGGTTCAGCTAAAAGGCTGTAGCAGCCTGCACTGCCGTATGTTGCGGTGTCTGTTAAACTTGGCTCGACTCCATCCTGGAGGTGACGCGGAGCCTGTATTGTTGGGGCGTGCGAAGCTCTTGCTTCCTCTAGTGAAGTAGTAAACGTTGCACCGCAGGCCTAGACGGCAGGCGTCTCAAGTCACACGCTCACCTTGAGCGCTGGCAGCACTCACGTTTCTTCTCTTTGTCTAGGTTCCAATGGTCCTCAGCTGTTTACAATAGAGCAATGGGGGAGTCCTGACAAGCTGCCCAGAGCTCACACATGGTGAGTGACAAAAACGCACCCTTGTCCGCAAACCATGTTTTAGATACTTAGCCATGTGCGCCGCTGGGCTGGAGGCTGCAGAGCGGCGCTGCCCTCCTGCCCATAAACAGCTTAGAGTCTGAAATGTCGGTGTTGCAGGGGAAAATGTAAACTGTCCTGTGATGCTCACAAAGTTCAGTCCAAGCTCTGAATGGACCTGGAGTGTCTGGCGCCTACAGGGTTAAGCGCTCCGTGCTGTGGGGCACTGCTCCTCCGACCCCATTCTTCCCTAATAACTCTTAAGAAGCAGAGATATTATTACTTATACCACACATGGGCATGACAGCTCCCAAACTGGAAACAGATTGGGTTTTTACTCCACCTTGAAATTGGCTTTTTACAACGTGGGATAACATTCCCTGTAGAAACATTGCTTTGAAAAGGGCTTCCAAGGCCAGCAGTGACCCGCAAGACTCTGAGCTTAGTCCCCATCTGATGGTGGCCCGAGGAAGGTGAGCCGCCTGCCCCAGGACCAAAGCCCAGGGAGACGGTGGCGCGGGGCAGCACCCAGGGCAGGGCAGGGCAGGGAGGCGAGCCTGTGGCTTCCCGCAGCGTGTTAGGTAAAACCCGCACGAGGACCCACCGGGCCACTCTCAGCGGGCACTTGTTCATCTGAACAGCGATGTCCCTTGCGTTGGATTTCCCCGGGGGCTTTTCTTTCTTGCTCTTAGGACACGGGTGGAAGGGGGACTTCACGAGCACTGAGCACCCCCCTGCGGGAGGGGAACAAAGTGCAGCTGGGAGAGTGTTCTCGTGAATGTGTGTTGGTAAAATATTAGCTGTGAGACATGTTTCGCCTCCGTTTGAGTCCGTGGCTGGCAAGAAAGTTTCCTCTCCATATTGCACCATCCATGGGACCGAATGGGACGCGTGTATGATTGTGGCCCATTAGCCCCTTGACAGCAAAGTGACATTTGGGGGCTATTGGAAGCAGTCACTGTCTGTGATTCTCTGCCTTTGTTCCAGAGGGCAAATGTTTTGGTAGTTTGGAGCCTTTATCCCCCAAAATGCCGAGTCAGGTGGAGTTTCCTGGGCTGTGGTGGCCCGCGTCGGAAAGGCAGCCGGCCCAGCCCTGTGGGGACCGGCGGAGAACTGCCGGTCCGCGGCCGAACGCGGAGAGGCGGGGGAAGAGCCGCGTGATCGGGCACAGCCCTGGTCTGCGGGCCGGGCACTCGACTTTCTCGGGCAGCCTTGTGGCGCATGGCCAGCATCGCCGTGGGCCGTGAGCATTGCCCCAGCCCGCCCAGGGTCCCACGGGTCCCAGGTCCCAGGTCCCAGGATGTGACCTCGGGTCCGCCAGAGTCAGAATCAGTACCCAACCACGGCACTCATCTACAGCACCTGTCGACACCGCCCACTTTCTTTTTGGACTCTCCAAAGAGAGCCAGGTAATCGAGTGTCAGCCCGTGTCCCTCTGGGATGCTACGGACGGACATCTCACTGTTGAGCTTTCCCGCTGTTTCAGCGTGCACGTGCTTCGGCCACAGCTGCAGTGCGGTGCTGCCCAGATACGCCCTCTGAATGCAGTGGGTCTCTACCTTGCCTGCACGTTGGAACCACCTGGAAAGTTTAAAGATACATATATATAGATCCCACCCCCAGAGGCTGGCAATCCGTTGGTGTGGTGTGCGGCCCAGCCCTGGCGCTGTCAGAACTCCCGAGTGGGCCCGGAGGACAGCGAGGGTGTGAAATCTCTGTCCCCCTGAGGAAGGACGAAGGCCGCCTCCCGGAGGAGGGCACCCAGCGAGCTCCTCCCAGACCCGTGGTGTGTCGTAGAAGCAAAGCAACCGAAGCAGTTCCTAATGATAGTCCCCCCAGAGTCCCAGAACGGCTGCCACCTGACCAGGCGGAGTGCTCGCTGCAGGCCGCCCCGGCTGGCGGGGCGGGACTGGCTGTGTTCCCTGCCGTGCGGCCATCTTCCCGGCCTGGCCCCCGGGTCCCACTGTTGCGTGGGAAACGAGCTTTGCTGACCACTCACAGCATCTGTCCCACAGTCATATTCAGCCACGTGGAGGTTTAGTGTCTCCTGTGTTTCATGAAAGTATAAAACACGCCGTTAAGCTTCAAAATGCAAACCTGACGTACCAGGAGAGCAAGGGCTGGTAGGTCTGGTTCTCTCTGGTACTTTCCATAGATCTCTCAGATGTAATCATTGGGTGCCCGATATTTAAAGGGCATCATTTCATTATCCTGTCAAAGGTCGCTGCTTGGATATTTAAAATTATGCTTTACCAAGGACTGCAGATCTACCGGCTCTTGTCAGCTCTAACCGTAATTTCATTTGGCCCACACATCTTCACGTGGAGACACAGGCGCCCGCTGAGGACAGTGAAGTCACGCAGTTAGTTAGCGGCAGGCCAGAGGCTGACTCCAGCCCCTGACCTCAGAGCAAATGATAATTAACCCTTGTTAAGTATCTCCCTGCCTTTGTGCTAAGCCCTTTATATGCCCTAACTCATATCAGTTATAAGAAGGGGGTCATATTAAAGGGAAAAAGTGGTCACAGACCCTTGATAATGCATCTCCAGACCCCCTAGGGATTGCAGGCTCCGGACTGAAATACCAGCTTAAAATTAACCCTGAAGCCGCCTTCTGCAAACAGTCCTTCTCAGTGCAGTCTGCCAGAGTGGCGCTCTGTCTCTACAACGGGTGTCAACAATAAAAACAGAAAAATAAGAAACCAAAACTTAAAACACTTCCATTAGGCTTTCTGTTTTAGGATCCCTAGGTCTGTGAGAACTGCCCTTCGAGAAGCAGCATTATTCTCTGCGCTGCCTTTTAATGTTCAGTGAATGTGAAAAAACCTGAGAGCTCAGTGTGTCTCATGAAACACGTTAGGGGTGGCTAAGGGACCCGCCGTGGGTGCCAGTCTGTCTCCTGCAGCTGAGGACAGCCGCTGGCTTTGCAAGCCTGGAGCCAAGGCAGCACGAATGGTGGTTGGGCCGGGCTTCGGAGCCAGCCATGGGACCGCACTCCCCTCTCATGCGTACTGTGTGACCTGGGGCGAGTTACCTAACCTCTCTGTGCCTCGCATAGGGTTGTAGCGTTACCTGCCTTCCAGGGCAATTGCTGGGACTCCCTGAGGCAATAAACGAAAAGTACTTCACCTGCCCACGGCACAGGGTAACTGCTCCCTGAACGTTCACTCTTATTAAGTCATCTCCCGCTGCGGCGAGGCGGTACGGCCCTTTCCATGACAGGGGCTGGTCTGCAGCCCACCCCCGCAGCAGGACTCCTGCGACCGGGGCGCTTGGGGAGTGCTGAGCGAAGGGTAACCGTGGCCACCATCTCCGGGCACTGGCTCTGTGCTGGGACACTGTCCGTGTGTTCTGATCGGGCCCTTCCAGCACTCTGCACGCAGCCTCCACACTTCACGGACAACAGACAGGCTCCGAGAGCGCAGTGACCTGCCCAGGGCACACAGCTGGCTGGCGGCCCAGCCAGAATTTGAACTTGGCCTCTTAGACAAGTTGCCTTCCTTTTCCCAAAAGCCTCCCTACCGCCAGGGTCGGTTGGAACACCCCAGAAAAAGCCTGCGGGGAGGCGGGGCCTTTGAATGATACGGCCTTTCATGCCACATGTCTGTTACTTGCCTGGCCACAGTTGCTGGCGGGAGCTTATTAACATCGCTCTTGGAGCCGCAGACAATCTGCTTCTAGCCTTGAGTCTGCCGTGTGCCAGGGCGAGGGCTCGGGCACCATCCCTTGACTTCTGTGCTTCAGGACCCTCATCTGCAGAGCAGAGAAAGCGCGGCCCGCCTCTTGGGCCTGTGACGGAAACCACAGCAGTCACTATGTGGGAAAGCACCGGGCTCAGGGCCTCAGGCAGAAGGAGCGAGCGCCTTAGGACGCAGCCCAGCCTCCATTCACCCGGGACTCCTAGTCACCCGGGACACAAGTTTCTAGGGTTTGGAAATGTTGGGGTGCATGTCAGCTCCCTGCCTGTGGTATCTCGCTCCCAAGCAGGGTTTGTCCAGTATCCATCTCTAGCCGGAGTAGAGAGATTCCATGGACTATCAGAAAATTCTTCTCTCTCCTCTGCGGGTTATATAGCCTCTTTGGTATGGATAGTTTCACCAATGGAATTTATACTTTGAAAATCAGAATTTAGTTAAGACCTCTACATACTGTCGCTCCAACCGCAAATGCCCCCTTAGCCAGATCTCGGACGTGCTGTCGTGACTGATGGGTGATGATGAGGGCGTTTCACCTACGCTTCTGTTACCATTGCAGCTTTAATCGCCTTGACTTACCTCCATATGAAACCTTCGAAGATTTACGAGAGAAGCTTCTCATGGCCGTGGAAAATGCTCAAGGATTTGAGGGGGTGGATTAAGCACCTGCCGCCCCGGGTGGTGGTTCGTCGAGCAAGTCCTGCTTGCACTTTTGCATCTCCCGCCCAGACTTTGCAGAGACGATGGCAGCCAGCGTTGCGCGGTGCAGCCCTGGGAGCAGAGCCTTCGCCCGCAACTTGCCCAAGCTCAGCCGTGGGAACCCCGTCCCAGGTCCCGTTTCTGCATTTTCCACCGCAAATTATCAACTGGTTGATGTGTACACTAATTACATTTCAAGAGGACTTATTCTATTTATGTTGCGCCTCTGTAGGCAGAGCCCTTAATAAACATTTTACATACTGTATAATGACCATGAATGGAATCAATCACTCTACAGGTATAGTATTACAACTCATGTTTACTTTTTGAAAATGATTTAGGCCGATTTTCCGATTTCATTTCACTGCAATTAAAGATGTCTCATGTACTTGGAAAAGTGAGCATTTTTTTGTATTTGAATTTCATACCAAGTTTAATGTCCATGACATTTTTATTTTTGAAGTACTTTGACACCCTACCCTCAACTTTATTAGGCTCGGAAGACTGACTTGTGTCCAAAAACCTTCTTACAGACAAGTACTTTGAGAGCATTTAAAATATAACAGGCATAATGATAATTTTTTTCCATACTCAGAATGAAAACAAACTGGATATTAGGGTTTTGGGGGGGCGGTTGTTTCTTTTTTTCTTTTTCTTTTTTTTTTTTTTTTTTTTTGGTACAAATTACCATAATAGCTACAGGCTGGGAGAATTGTACCATAGCATGACACATTTCATGTTGACTTCAAGGAATCACATCATTATTCCTTAGAAGTACTTAACGTGTACTCCAACACGTTTGAGACATGGTTGAACGATCATTTCTCCTGAGAGAAATTGCTTAACCCTTCCTGATGCTGTACAGTCCTTCATTTATTATATTTTCCTCTTTGCTGTTCGTAGTAGAGACATTTATTTGAATGAAACTCGGCACTGCTTGATTTGAAACTGTGGAAACCAGATCTGTTTAGTCTCCTGTTTGTACGCGTTCGCTAACAGTAGCTAAAGAACCAACGTTCGTTCTGACTGCACCAGTTCCTAAGGCACTTTATGTACTACGTGGAGGTCACACCTGGTTTGGTTTATGTTTTGTTCCTCACCAAGGACATTAAATGTGATGATTATTTCTGTCCCTGCACGCATCTTTCCAGTGCATTACCTATCGATGGTGAGCCTGGCTGCCGGCGTCTGAAACCCAGCTGTGAAGCTGAGCCAACAGCCCTGTCCTCGCCGATTGTTCTGTGATTTCTGCTCAAAGATGAATTTAAAACGCACCTGATCTGTCCACTTTGTTCCCTGTGACATGCTGCCTGATCGTGTCTGTTGTGCGCTAGCAGAAAAGTGAGCGGCGAGACGTGGACCCTCTGCGCTCAGGCCGCTCAGCTTGTCGGGGGTGGGGGAACACGGGGGTGAGAGGGTGGCTACACGGCTTGATGGTTTGCAGAATTCTGTCGGGTTTTGCGAGATCGCCTGAGGCGGTGTCGGGGGCTCAGCCCTGCTGCCCTTTTTAACCTGTGTTGTCCCTGGCCCTGTCCTAGCAGTCAGGGGACACTAGCGATCTTGATCTCTTGCCAGTTGTGAATAAGACAAAAACTGGTGGTTTGAGGGCATCCATTTGTTATGTAAGAAGGACCTTGTGGGGTAAGAAACTCCGTGTTGGTGGCTTGTGAGAAGCTGTGAATGTTCGTGGTCGTGAGTGAGTTATCTGAAGTCTGTGGTGTCTAAAACAAGATGAGTTTCTGCAGAGCTGAGGACGGGCTTTTCATACTGGTTTTAAAATACCGAGAGGGGTGATCGGAAAACTTAGATGCTGACTACTTAGAAAAGTGTTGCTCATTATTTTTATCTGTTGGTGGGAATGTTTTTTCCCCTTTGGTCAATGCGGCAAATGTCTCAGTGGCAAGAGCCCCTCGGCAGCCCCTCCTGGCCCAGGGCCAGCTTTCTTCGAAAGGCACGTGCCGGAGCCTGGGCAAGCAGCCTGCGGGGCGGGCGCTCCGAGCAACCCCGTGAGACTGCAGGGCGGGGGGATCCGGCAGTTCCAGTCTAAGGACCGGGGCTCTTCTGTCGTTTTTAATTGTCTACTCAAAATCAGAATATTTGTTAGGTGCAAATTAGACAAAGTATTGAAAATCTGAAAGACAAATCATTCTAAGATCATTTCTACACCAGGAACAGGTGAGAATTACCAACACACCACCCCTAGGAATCCTTGAAAGGCAGTGATTGGGAACAACAGCTCAGTTCGTCCACTCCTTAATGTCCGATTTCAACGACAGCTAAAATAGTGCTGGGTTTGGGATTCGTTTTTAATCCAAATAAGGGTCCCTAGTTCTCAACAATTCTCAGTGTTTCACTCATTGTTGAAAATAGTCATAGATCTTGTTCTCTCTAAATCTTGGTGCGCATTCTCCATCATTTCAAGATGTAACGACAGATGGCAGTAAAGAAAGCGTGTCATGTGAACAGCGGAATGATGGGTCATTCCTGGGGCCTCCACCCGCTCTGGTCAGCAGGCCCGGAGTCAAAGGCAGCATTGCCCATTCTAGCTGTTCGTAGTCCTAGACGCTACTCCGAAGTCCAGGGTCTCTATAGCCTCTGTTTTCTTAGAAATTACTTTAATCCAGACTTGTCTGTCTGTTTAGTTCCTGGAAGAAGGTGTAGTTGTGATGGGCCAGTTTGCCATGAGGCTAGGAAGGAAGTTCCAGAGTTTCCGGCCTGCATGTTGCAAGTCTTTGACGATCCCCACCAGCTGTCAGTCCTGGGTGTTTCTCTTCCCGCCTCTCGTTGTCCAGCAGAGCCATTTGGAAGGTCCGCCCAGGGGACTGGCTTCACACGGCACGCTGTGGTCCCACCTGCTGCCGTGGGAACAGGAAACAGGGGCATCTCTCTGTTGGAAAGTTACGTTCCGCTTCAGCGCCCTTTCCTTTTCTCCCAAGACGTTTGCCACTATTGACCTTCCTGGAGCCAGGCCTCTACCCGATCACAAAGAAAGATGCTTCTTTGGTTGCTGTTTCCATGGCGCTCTGGCAGCGGACATGAGGAACTGCCTAAGGTCAGGGGGCCAGTGCTAGACAGCGACCTGACATGGGTTATTCCTCCCACATAAGGAGACGGGGACAGATTCTGAGAAATGGTTTGCAAAACATTGGAAACACTTTGTACTTCTCACATTGTTAAAATAGATAACATGTGCCATTGCTGTTTGATCCTGCCAGATCCAAATTGGCTCTCTTGAAAGCCAAGTTCATGCACAGCAAATTACTGACTGTTCTCACGGTTCCTAATTGTAGAACACTTGACTAGTATTTTCCTAAGTTTTGTCTCTCACCTATGAAATTTTAAAATCTATGAAAAGAGCCTGGACTAATCAATTCTCGATCTCCTCCCTGCTGTGTGCTAGCTGTCCTTTCTTTGCCTCTTTCCCCCTCGCCCTGAGTCTACACCCCTGTACTGATAGGGAAGAGAGGGCACGGGACATGCTGTCGGTGTCATTTTCTGCCTTGCCAGTAGGGGGTGGTGCTGTGCAGGGTAACTGCCTGCTCTGCTCCCTTCCTGACCCTCAGGAGATCGCTACCTCTGTCTCATTCAGGCTTTGGGGTACTTCCTGATAAGTCAAAACTGCCAATTTCAGGTCTGAGATGTGTTTTTAAAAATCCTTATAAACTCCACTTTGTACTTTAGATTTTAAAACTGGGAAGGAAATGTGATATACTTTGGACCACTTTTTTTTAATTTATCTAAGCCTTAATGAACTGTGTACAAACACTTGCATATACGCGCATATATGCGCGCACACACCAGAGTGTTTCCAGTGTGTCAGAGAAAATGCCGTAGCATTAGGACGTGAGCTTGCGTCATGTTGTCTAGAAAAGGAGAGCCTTCTGTGTGTGTGTGAACGTGTCCAAGAAAACCTCTTGTTAGACGTCTATCCTTTGTTAAAGGTGTTAGGCGCAAAGCAACGCATGTTTAAAACGCTTGTCTTTTTGTTGGTTAGTCTGTTTGTAAGGAGTAACAATAGGAATCTAATGACACTGGCCACACAGCCCGTTGTGAACTGCATTCTCAACCTTGTATCAGTGCATCGAAAGCCCTCCTTGCGACCATAACCTTGTGTCTGCAGACACCTGTGTTCCTGTAGAAGCCAGTTTGCAGCTCCTACTGAGACTAATTTCACCCAGATTGTCATGGGTTTCTTCATGTGATAACTTTGCGTAACCTTGTTCTTTCTCTACTACTATGTATGTAAAATATATACATATACATATATACGTACATATGCTGTCCAAATATATATGTATATATTTGTATAGCATTTTTACACCTTTCTTGAACAATCTGGTTTTGAAAGGGAGTGAGAGCTTAGTCCCTTCTACAGTTTTCTCCAAGCTGTACCCTGAGAATTCTGATTCTCGGAGCCTGAGAGAACCCCCTGAAGATGGTGTTAATATGCTGTCATTTCTGAATTCAGGATTGTTTATCAAATGAAACATGAAGAAACACAGTGGCTTTAAGGTGAAAAGAGTTTCAAGCATTCCAAATGAAGTCTCAATGTTTCGTAACTTTTTCTTAGAAACCCACCTCCTAATACAAAGCCAAGTACTCTTTGATACAGTGATTAAAAACCAAACTACTTTGAATTTTTTTAAAGACCACCTATGGACAATGCTCATTTTCTCAGTCAGAGTAACTTTAAAATATGGTTGAATTTGATACACACAGGAAAAGTTTTGTTTTAAGAACAAAATCCTTGTGGCTTTTCATTTCTCTTGAGAGATCTCATGAGGAAATTGTAGATTGTTTTCCTGAGAGCAAAAGAGTCATGTGACAAAATGAAGTCATTGTAAAGACGTGATGCAACCTGTCAAATATTTAATAAAGAATTATGGAAGCTGGCACATTTTCTACATCAAGTATGATGGCGTGTCTGATTTAAAGCTGCTTTGTGAGTGTGTCACGGGTTCCGGGGGTTTGATGCCTGTAGGTTCACAGCCTGTCCACTTCCTTAGTCTCCCTAAGAGTCCCACACCTTTAAAAAAATCATTGCAGTCTGCCCAAAGCACGTGGCTTCAGCTCAATGAGATGCACATCCCTTCTCACCCACCTGTCTTTCTATTAAGCTTGAGAGTTGATGGCTTCATCTAACACCTTATAACCCTTACGAGGCCTTCCCCGCAAAGGCCTATGCCTAGTCTTCATGCGAGCAATGCTAAATTTTTGTGCGTTAAGGAGACTCAGTCAGGAAGCCCAAAGTGGGTCTCAGGAGAAAGAGATTCTCAGAGTCCAGACCTTTCATCCAGGCTCTGTTCAGGCGCGCTGGCTCCTCACATTTTTTTCTCTTTTCTTTAGTTCTAAGCCTCCTCGTGGTGGTCTTAACCTATCCCCCCCAGGACTGCCAGGAGGAAACACCCTAGCAGGATGTGATTTAGTCCTGGGTTTCTGGGGACATGTCTTTTCCAGGTAGCGGTGATGGCATCTCACCGGACAGGCGTCCGCCGCCAGATCCGGAGCTCCCTGCTGCTTGGCCCAGCCTCACACAAGCACGCAGGGATCTTCTGGTGGACCAAGCTGCTCTGAACGTTTACATGTTCTTCCTTAGAGAAAAAAACAAACGTAAAATAAAGCAGGGGATCATACCTCGGTACAC